TTGTAAGTAATATACTGTATAATGTAATATGTTAACGCCAACCCAAGTTTACGTGTTTGTCATTAACTTCAGTGATAAACAAACTAAGTGGTTTGTGTTTCCTTTGAGGCATGTCAATTCCTGGAGCTTCAACTACAAATGTCATACATATCAGTGATTCACAGTGGAATGAACAACCAACTTATCCAGCATATTTTTTATGCAGCAGATGCCTTTACAGCCACAACCCAGTACTGGGAAACACCCATACACTCTCACATACAATACGACCAATTTAGTACATTCAATTCACTTATACTGCATGTTGTTGGGCTGTGGGGTAAACTGAAGCACCCGGATGAAACCCACGCCAACATGGGGAAAACATGCAAACTCCACACATAAATGCCAACTGATCCAGTCGGGGCTCAAGCTAGTGACTTTCTTGCTGTGAGGCGACAGTGCTAACCACTGATACACCATGCCTCCTATGTCAGTGATTGGAGTTTATAATAAAAAAAAAATAAAACATATTTTGTTACAAAAGCACATCAGTCTGCTTCATAAGACATGCATTAGCCCCCTGCCGGTGTATGGGTGAGTTTGACTAATTTATACTCTTTTGGAAACTTCAAAATAAAAGCTACTAACCATTATACAGCATGTGGAAGAGCCAGAATAAAATTAAAAAGTACTTAGGAGTTGGACTGCCAAAAAAAGTAATAGACACATAGGATGGCTTGAGGGTGAGTAAATTATGAGGTAATTTTAATTTTTGGGTTAACTATTGCTAGGATAGGCAGCTACTGCTTTGCAAGGGGAATTTACACTTAGCAGGGTTGGTCTGATTAAAAATAAATATTTAAAGAATTATTTTGGTTAATTTGAATAAGTGTTAACACTCTTGTGCAGTTTAACCAAAATATCAACACACCACAGACCAAAGATGACTAATTACACCAAAAACAGGACATGATATAACAAGATTTGATGGTAAAAAGGACAGAATTATTAAACGCATATGTGTTATCTTGTCATAATAGTGATGCTGTTCATTACAGGGTATTGCATCTTCTAGCTAATTTCATTTGTCTGTGACTCAAAAATTCTGGACACGGTTTTGTTTACAACTGATAAATATGTTTGTATTTATTGGCTGCACAATATATAGTTTCACCATCGATATTGCAATGCGATCATTCACAGTCGCAGATTGCATCGCACTGCAAGATCTGCAAAGTTGAGTTTGTATTATAACTTTTCTTTTTTTTACTTAGGCATAATAAATTGTACCATTTGTAGCTTTAATAACAATTAACTTTATATAGACTAAATACTGACAGACTCAGAAAATGATAACATTACATTTACTTCTAAACTTTATTTCAATTTTATTTGTTTCTTTATTGTATTTATAGATTTTTATTAGAATTTATGCAAATGCACTCCTACTGCAGAATCCTCCCAAATCAATCTAAAATGATCTACTCTTTACTCTTAGAATTTTCCAGTATCATGCAGCCCTAGTTTGTATGCACATGCTATGGCTTATGTAAACATATCACTTGGTTTATTGGTTTGCTAGGCACACAGCATTAATCTGAATGTTCAGTAATAATAGGTAACAAAATATATGTCATAAATCAGTATGATCTGTATGTTATCAATTATTGTTGTGTCTTTAAGTTCAAGTCTTAAAAATGACAGTGAGTGATCATGGAGTGAACCAACTCTAAATACATCATATTCTTATCCAAAATCAAACAAAAAGTGCTTAGAGGTAGCTTAAATAATGTATCGGTGCTCTTTGGGTAAAGGATTCATCAGAATAAACAGCAAAAATCAGTCCAAGGCATTTGGAAAATGTGGAAAAATTATTAAAAAGCCATGTCAATAAAGGCTTTTTAAATTTTTCAAGTGCCTTGAACTGATTTTTGCGGTTTATTTCATATTCTTGTTTGGTCTGAAGTGTGAACACACCCTGAAATATTAAAGATGTTGTATAACAAAATCACTAGTAACCGTGCTATTTCTAATCACTCAGAGAAAAAGTTTAAAAGCAACAGAAATACTGTTTTATAATTTTCTCTGATGGTCCACTATGTTAAGTGAATCCTCTGAGCCCCTAAAAGAACAGAGCAGATGCAGAGAGAGACCTGCGGCAGGAGAGCAAGACCTCGCTCTCATAGGGCAGTACCGCAGAGTCCTGGAAACTAGATGTGTCCAAGAAAATTGCTAGATTTATTGGGGGTAAAAAATATGTATAAAATGTATATGAAGATGCATAAAAGTCACTAAGTGAAGTTTCATAAACTAATTTCGAAAGGAGCATGTGATATGATTGAGCACGACTGGGTGCTCATCTGTAATCAGTTATAAGCCAGTAATAAGCCAATAATCAGAGTTATCCAAGCTTACAATAAATGGATTGTTTTTCCCTACTGCTCTATCTTTAATTTGGAGGAATCCCCCCTTCCACCCCCTCTCCTCCTTTTCCTCCCCTTTCTAAGGGTAACTCTCAAGACCTACCTGATCTTGGATCATAGTGAACAGGCTCTCCTGGAAGGAGACCGATTTAAAATGTTTGTGCAAAATGCTGCTCCTCTTATCTGTATATTCAGCATTGCATATTTCAGCATCATAATATTCATTTTGCAGTTTGCACAGATATTTTTCACTATTGTGTTTCACCTGGTTGAGATGTGCAGCACATCTTAAAAAAATTAAATAAAAAAAACCTCAGGTCTTTTTTTGTGTTTTCTCAACACATGCAGTTTTATTCTTTGTTTAAATTAAGTATATTTGTGTTTTTATTAAAGTTATGTATTTTTACTACTTTTAAATAATTTATAAAAATCAGTGACTTTAATCTACCATTTGTTTTAAATGTTAAAAGAATCCCTGGTCTAGGGCAGAACTGGATTGTAAGTAATAAATTAAGAGTGTGGGAAAAAATGCAATTGGGAAGGAAAAGGCAAATTTGTGTGTGTGTGTGTGTGTGTGTGTGTGTGTGTGTGTGTGTGTGTGTGTGTGTGTGTGTGTGTGTGTGTGTGTGTGTGTGTGTGTGTGTGTGTGTGTGTGTGCGTGTGTGTGTGTGTGTGTGTGTGTGGCTATTAAAGGCTATTGGGTACAGATTTGTAGGACATTAAATCTTGTATTTAATCAAAGATATGACTTCTACTATCTTAAATTTTTTGTTAGGTCTTGCTGATAATAATTTGAACTTTCTTATCTATGCTACCCGTAAGAGTATATTTCTTAAATGGATATCTGATAAACCACCGACAGTATCAGAATAGCATAATGTAATATTTGATCGTTTGTCATTAGAATATATTTTCCCGCTGGATATGAACTCATTTTCTTCAGTATATAGGTCCCATGGTCTTTGTGGTTGCTAGATCGGATATGGTTGCGGCCAGAAGTTAACAAGAATTATTGATATTATTTATTAAATTTCCCATTTATTGTATTTGATTAATGTCTACCCCCACCCCAACCCTAAACTCAATCATCACAGTAACATAAAAACAGTATTTGTACCTTGTATTATTTATGCTATCTATTAAATTACCCAATAAATTGTATTTTTTAATGTATAACCCCAGCCCAACCCTAAATCCAACCATACGGAGTCATAAACAATGCTGCTATAATTAATGTGGGGGTAACGCGGTAGTGCAGTTGGCATTTCTGTGTGGAGTTTGCATTCTCCCCACGTTTGCGTGGGTTTCCTCCGGGTGCTCCGGTTTCCCTCACAGTCCAAAGACATACAGGTGCAGGTGAATTGGGTAGCTAAATTGTATGAGTGTATGAGTGTGAATGAGTGTGTATGGATGTTTCCCAGAGATGGGTTGCAGCTGGAAGGGCATCTGCTGTGTAAAACATATGCTGGATAAGTTGGCGGTTCGTTCTGCTGTGACAACCCCAGACTAATAAAGGGACTAAGACGAAAAGAAAATGTATTAATTAATAAATTTATAATTAATGTGCATATCGCACCTCCGGCCGGCTGCATCCTATCTGGACTTTACCCAGGATCTTAGGTACTTTTTTGCTAAGCCTTAGATCAACATTAACCTTGATTAATTTATGTATTCTTCTATTTTTTATTTGCTTGTATATGTATATTTGCTTTTTTATCTTCATTATGTGCTGTGATGTTGAGAAATATGTTGGTTGTAATCTGTGGTTATTGTTCTGTTGTTTTGTTGAAATAGATGCAACAAAAAAAAAAAAAAATGGAGATGAGTCAGTAGCTACATTTCCATGCGCATTTTGGATATGAACATAAAAATGGTTGATGGAAACGACAAATGCGTATAAATTTTTAAAATGCGCATAAAATCTGAGCAGGATACTTTTTATTCAATAAGAAAAGATGCGCATAAACTATGAGGAAAACACTTTTACCGAACAAATTTCAGTATGCTCATTAAAAAAAAAGTAATGTGATTTTGTTAGAAGAGAACATATGATGAAAAAAATGTGTGGGAATGGATAAACCAGCAGGCTGAGCACACTGTAAAACATCTGAAATGTTGTTTTGGTCATTCTAAAACGCCTAAACTGTTTCAGTATTTGTGTTATTATTTTATTAATGACCTCCATAATCAATTAAGAGCTTCTGTGCTCTGCATCTCAAGCCTTCAAACGCCACCGCATGTTCAATGTGTGTCAGGATTTCCTTCTGAGGCGCAGGTCATTTATCAAATGAAGAAAAGATTCACGCAGCTTCTCCTACCACAGCAAATTCCATTTTAACTGTTCATATTTGGCGCCAGATAATCAGAAAGTGACGTTTTTGTTCACTTTGACTTGTTGGATGGAAACGCTGCTTTGTTCGCACCTCTTTTAATCGATATTCCAATTTTGCGCATTAAGTTAATTCACGTTTTTGGATGGAAACAGCTAGAGAGACACCAAAAGTGCCATCAAAACCTGAGTTAGGGTTAACTGAATTATTTAAGCAACAATTCACAATAAAACATTTCATGGCTGACCTTTGTATGAATTCGTAGGTCGGTCGATTTCGGCACGACGTACGAGAAGCTGACAGATAAAGTGATGATCAGAACGATGCTGAGCTATCTGTACGTCTGTCCGACCAATAAGAGAAAGGTGAGTGTCTTTAAAACGCATGAAAGATATGGACATATTAAGCTGTCAGAGAGCAAATATCCAGCTAATAAAACTCATGCTCCCACTCTTTCTTGTCCTCAGATCCTGATTTTATCCGATCCAGAGGTGGAGAGTAGTTTACTTATCAGTTCTGACGAAGGAGCCTCGTTTCAAAAGTTCAATATTAACTTCTACATCATGAGTCTTCTGTTTCACCCTACGCAGGAGAATTGGATACTGGCCTATAGCCACGATCAGAGGGTATACACACACACACAGACATGCTCGCACAGCCTCAAGAGGGCCTGCTGAACAATTAAAAGCAGATAATGTGGATAATTAAGTGCGAGCGAGATAATTACCTTTGTTGGCTGTAGTTAGGGATCTTAAAGTGAATGTGTCTGTTTCTCTTTTGGCTGTAGCTCTACAGCTCTGTGGACTTCGGGAAGAAGTGGATTCTTGTTCACGAGCGAGTAACTCCAGGGCGATTTTACTGGTACGACACACATACATACACAATCTTTTTTTTTTTACTGATCATCAATCTCATATAACACGCCTACAGTGCAATTTCACACTGAAAATTAATCTGACTGCAAGAATACACCTGCACACACACACTCACGCACAATCACATACTGAAAATTAATCCAATATTAAACCCACTCTCTACATCCACTGACACTGATAAACTTACACACACACACAAACACACACACACTGTATATGTCTCTTTCCCTTCTTTCTTTCTATCTATCTATCTCGCTGTCATGTCACTTCTCTCTCCCCTGTGCTTCATATTCCCGTACGTGTGGAATTTTGATCAGGTTTTATATTTTAATCCCATCAGTGTGAGTTTGTGTGTTTGTGTGTGGGGTGCATCAGAATAACTGGTTGCCTGTCACATGCTCGATGAGCTGTGGAGACAACACGTCTTCACCTCTGGGTTTAACATCCTTGTGCACACACACATTTTTCTATATCCCTTCAAATATATGTATAATACATCTTTGCTTTGCTGCTTTATACAGCAACACACACACACACATACACTATTCTGTTTGTGCCACTGAAGCCCTGCTGTGTCAGGGACGGTGAGTACAGAAGGAGAAAATGGAAAAGTTTAACCTTAAACTGTAATAGGTCTCTCAGGCCGGGTTTGAGATGAACGTTTAACCCTCTTCAATTATTTAGGCCTGATCCGAACGTCTGACGGATTGAGAGATGTTTTAATCTCAGACAGACAATTGAAGGAGATTTAAACAAGTGGTTTCGTCTTGGACTGAGATAGATGTTTAAAAAGGTCTTGAACTGCTTATTTTCCTTTTACATTTTCTACTGTCCTTTGAACTCCACTTATTCTTTGACGCACACTCTTACATACTTATTAAGAGTTTTACGTCAATAAAATCATCATTTAGAAGTAATGGATTATTTTCTGTCCTGCTCTGACCTCCTCATCACAATTCAGTTCATTAGTTGTAGTGGATTGTAAAATGCTTCTAAATGTTCTCATGTTTGAAAGGACAGTGTTGTGCAAACCGACGTAAGGTTAAAAATACCTAATTGTTACCTTACTGTGTACTTAAGTAACAATCTGTTATAGCAGACAAAACAATAGTGTTCAAACAATGAAAACAATTTTTAATTTGTGTGCTGTCAGATTCAAAACATTAAGAACAGCATCATCCTTTCATTACAATGTTTGTGAAAATCTTGGGAATTGTGACTTGTTTTTAAATTAATCAGCGTTAAATTAAGTTAACAGTTGACCAAGTTCTTCAGTGAGAACTTAGTCAACACATATGTGTGTGTGTGTGTGTGTGTGTGTGTGTGTGTGTGTGTGTGTGTGTGTGTGTGTGTGTGTGTGTGTGTGTGTGTGTGTGTGTGTGTGTTCAATTATTGAAAATAGAGCTTAAGTATTCAAAATACAGCAGAAAACTCAATTTAATATAAATATTCTTTTTAAATGTTTCAACATGATTACTCCCATCTTTAGTGTCACATGATCCTTCAGAAAGCATTTTCATAGGCCAATTAGTGCTTAATAAACATTTATTATAATGTTGAAAACAGTCAAGCTGTTCGGTATTGCTGAAGAAACCCTGATACATATTTAATGCGCAAGGGTTTCCACCAGATGGTTTTTATCCATGATGAATTTTAATGAAATACAAAAAAAGAAGGAGTATTTTAGATAGAAACTAAGTTTTTAACTTTATAAGTGTTTGTTTTTTTTGTCACTTTTGTCCAAATCAACATAAATAAAGTATAATGTTACAATGTAAATTAGTGAATTACATCAGGAACTCACTCCAGCTGGTATAACTCAATGTCTATCAGTGATGGACCACATCCAGATCACTGTTTGACACTGAGATTGAAGCTATATCCTTATCTTTAATTTCATTGCCTGTCAACTCAAGGGACATCAAAGTCTACAGTTTGCTGCCGGCCATAAAAATGGTGACCGACATGCAGTTTTCAAAGTCCAGATCATGAGAAAATGTGTGATGAGATCAGAAGAAAACTACGCAGCAATCTGAAAAATAAATAAATAAGCGATTTAATCTCAGACTGGAGTCTCAGAGACATTGGAGCTTTAAAATAAGACATGCAATGAAAATGATTCACTTCTCAGTTTGAGATTAATATTAATCTGAGACTGTTAATAGGGCTTAATATCAATCTAGCCCTCTGTAGAGGTGGAATATCAGATTTGAGCTGAAAGGTTTCATTTTGGATTGTGAAAAGGATTTTAATATCAGATTGTGAACGTGTTCAAACTGACTCAGAAGAAAATATGGATAACAAAAGACAAGACGTTAAGATGATTAAAAACTTCAGAAAGAGGATATGATGGTAAATGTGTGTGTGCGATGCAGGTGAAAATAGGCAGGTAAGAAATGAAAGTGTGTGTGCGATGGAAGATGGTTTGTGAGAGTGAAATGTGTGTGTGTGTGTGTTTTTGTGTGTGATTAATTGCTATCAGAGCAACAATAAGGATTCACTGGAGACAGACTGTCTCCTACTGGAGCGGTGGAATTATGCTGTCCATCACTTCCCCTCCATCCTTTCCCTCTTCTCTTCCATCACTCCATCACTCTCATGCTATTACCGTACTCATCCGTCCGTCCCCTGCTGGCACCTCCTTCTCTTTCCTTCCTTCTTCATCTCCTCTCCACTGGAGCCCTTCCTGATTGTTTTCCTCTCTTCTGTTCTTTTTTTTGTGTTTTCTGTCTTTTTCTTGTTTCATTTTCAGGGCGCTGAGTGGTCTGGATAAAGAGGCAGACCTGGTGCACATCGAGGCTCGAACTGACAGCGGACGTTAGTCTCTTTCCTTTCCTCTGTTTGCCCCTCGGATTTCATCTTTCTTTCTTCTGCTTTTTTCGGTTTCTCTCTTCCTCCCTCCCTGGCTCTCTCTCTCTCCCTGTCTTTCTTACTTTCTCCTCAGCCCCCTGTGCTTTTTTCCCCCCTTGTGTCGCAGTGAAAAATGAACAGATGAATTGTGGACAACAGTAAATTCGATAGTAAATGGTTCTGGCTTGGTTCTGGCGCTTGTGTTTTATCCTTGTGGGACAGTGTTGTGCATTAAGCGCTATTGATATGAGCCTGACACAACACAACAGGCCCTGAGCTACAGACAGTCTAACAACAACAATACATATAAATGTGTTATGAGTGATGCGGTGGTTACACCAAGCTGAGTTTCAAGCGCAGGCAAATGGTGGAGGCGGCAAAAGCTTCTTTAGTTTTTCAGACTGTCAAATCTGGAAGAAGGATTTGGAGCAGATCTATCAGTCTGTTCTTCTTAGAGCAGCCATGTGGATTCAGCAAATTTCAGAACTGAAGAACTGGCTCCTTTTCAATTGCAGAATAAATTAAATTGGCCACACCCCAAATGAAGAGGAATCAGAATGACAGGAAGAGGAACTTAGTGATGTTCACATGAGAAGTGCATTCTGGGAATTGAAGTGCTCCTCCATTCTAATGAATGAAATACAGTATTCCACATGATTTTTGGTTTCGACCAATGTATCTAAGGGGGCCAAACTACAAGTTAGGGCTGGGCCGACAAACAATGAAGACTTTTTTTTTATTCTATATTGGGTAACACTTTATTTTGAAGGTCCATATGAGTATTGATACTGCTCCTTCAACAGACATTCAACTCACTATAAGAAACTTACAGTACATGTCTACTTACACTAACCCTAACCCAACCTAACTGTCTACTTATAATCAAATAAGAATTAGTTGACATGTAGATGCAATGTAACTTAAGTTCAACAAACAGACCATCAAAATAAAGTGTCACCCTATATTGATCAAAGATTCAATCACAGAGCAGAAATGTGCAACAATGGGAATCTAAAAGTGTGTTGATATGAGATATGTATTGAATTTTCGGCTACCAAAAACGTATCGGCCGAAAATGTTAATGAACCGTCTAATTTTTGTGGCTTCAGTCATTTTTGGGATAATATTTTAAATCTGGAAGCATTAACATATCGAAATAAATATTGTTATCTTTCAATATGAAAAATAAATATCGAGATTACTGTCACAAAATACTGTCTTGAACAGAGATGCCCAAACTAGGTTGGCCAATGGTAACCTTTGATTCGGCCCGCCATCCTATCTGAGAAAAAAGAGACAATAATGGTGAGGGTTGGGGCAAATGCCTTTAAAAGAAATCGTATTTGACGATGAAATGAATCAGATTTTTATTGAAGTTTATTTTTAAACTAATTTTGAGAGGATCACGGGCTCATGATTGACCACAGCTGGTCCCGCATTAGCTAACATATGATTCAGATGATTATTAACTCATTACAAATAACCAGAGTTTATTATCTCAATATCATCGTCTTGAAGAATTCCCCTTCCCTCCCCAAACTCCCCCTCCTTTCTAGACTGAGCAACACAGCAGCGATTAGCACTGTGGCCTTACAGCAAGAATGTCACTGGTTAAAGTCCTGACTGAACAAGTCAACATTTCTGTGCAGAGTTTTCTTCTCCTCGTGCTCGGGTGGGTTACCCTCGGGTTCCCCGGTTTCCTCCCACAATCCAAAAAACACGCAACCTTAGTAAATTGAACAAGCCAAATTGGCATCATAGACTACGTTTACATGGACATCAGTAATCAATTTTTTTGCCTTAATCTAATTAAGAGAATAATAAGACTAAGGTGTTTACAAGAGCTGCTGTTTGAATGTACCTTTCATGATCCCGTTTAACATGTTATAGCACATAATTCGATTAATGTCATCGCGTCATCGCGCTATTCACATTTCCTCTGGACTTTCATATAATTTCGGGTGCTTCGATTTTAATTTGTTGACTTTAACTGCAGTTTGACACTTTTATTTTTACTGGATGAACTGCTGGAAGTGTGTGTTTGTGTGTGGGTTTGGGGGGTCTGTGTGTGGACTATCCTGTCGCAAAACGTGGTGAAAAGTCCTATCACGACGGTAGTAGTTCGGTTGTTGTGTTTACATGTCTGTACTGCACTTCAATAATGCGCCATTCTCCACATGTCGATTTCTCTTTAGTTTGATTATGGCCTTAAACTGATTAAATTAATCAAAAATTGCTGTTTACATGGTCAACTACTAATCAGAGTATTGTCATAATCACATTAAAATCAAACTATTGATGTCCATGTAAACAGACTAATAGTCAAGCTCTTGTAAGTCGTATATCTCTTTCTAGCAATCCAGGTATCTGTCATTAGCCAGAAATAAGTCGGGGAGTTCATCGAGATCTACCTGAGCTTAAACACCCCTCTCGCCCTGCTAACAGAGCCCCAGGGCAAATCAAGGCAAAAGCAGCTTTACTAGTGTAACTCCATTCTGCTACAATGGGATTGTTTTTATTTTTACTGTAACACACACACACACACACACACACACACACACACACATATATATATATATATATATATATATGCATTAGTTAATAAGAGTTTGATATATTTACCTATGGCCCACCACCCTAAATTAAGTTTGTTTTTTTGCTCTTCATAAGAAAAAGTCTGGGCACCCCTGGTCTAGAAAATGCTTGTGCATGTGAAAATTCCTGCAATTTCCTGTCTAGAAAATTCATGTTATTTAGATTTGACATTTTCGAGTAACCTCTGTGTTAAATACAAACCAAGGAATTTTCTAGTTTACTGAACTGGAAAACCAAACCCAGAACTAATGAAGAGAAATATAGCACAATTAAATTTGGTTTAGACTAAACGTTCCACATCTGAGATGTTTTCATTGTTAATTTGGTCACATGAGTGAATTCATCAAAAGTTGGAATACTGTAATTATTTACTCTCAGGCTGCTTGGGATTTCATAGAACACAAGAAGAAATGTTTCCTAATAGCCACACATTCCTTTAATCAGTGGAAACAGAGAGCACTGTCAAGCTCCAAAAATGAAAAAAGCAACTTCAATTTAGTCCAAATTATCAAACATTTTCTTATTAAACATTTTACACCACAATTCAAATCCACAGTAAGAGTGATACGGGTTTTTTTTTAGATCACATAATTAGGGCATAATTAGGGCCGCATGATATTGAAAAAATCTGACATTTTGATATTTTTTTCTGTGATATATATATATATATATATATATATATATATTGTGATATACTGTATCTATACAATTCCATTATATGATTATATAGCGCTATTTGAAAAGAATTTTGGTCACACTTTATTTAAAGGTTCAATTCTCACTCTTAGCAAACCATTATGACTTTAGCATCAATGAACTCCTTATTTTAGCCCTTATTAATAGTTATTAAGGTAGTTTAGGTATTGGGTAGGACTAGGGATGTACACTACCTGACAAAATCTTGTCGTCAATCTAAGTTGTAGGAACAACAAATAGTAACTTGACTTCTATTTGATAATTTAAAGTAATTTTTTTAGATGAATCATCTGTTGAACTGCATCCCAATCATCACAAAGGCTGTAGCAGACCTATTGGAACCCACATGAACCCAAGATTCACAGAAAAATCTGTTAAGTTCGGTGAAGGAAAAAAATCATGGTTTGGGGTTAGAGATCTGCAGAGTGAAAGGCAACATCAACAAACTGATGGTCCATTACATTACAACCCACAGAAGAGGGCAAATTCTTCAGCAGGATAGCGCTCCTTCTCATACTTCTGGCTCCACATCAAAGTTCCTAAAGACAAGGAAGGTCAAGGTGCTCCAGAAATGGCCAACCCAGTCACCAGACATGAACATTATTGAGCATGTCTGGGGTAAGATGACTTTGCCATTCTTCACCATTCCAGATGATTTTATTAATGAGTTATTTTAGTCATTGCAGAGATGTATGACTACAGTCTCGTGGGAGTCATACACAATATTAATTGTTTTTCCACTGCACCATGACTTTATATTCTATACTGTACATTATTTCTGTTAAGTGACAAGAATATTGTCTAAGTAAAGTCAAACCTTACTCTCCTAATAAAATAATTAAATAAACAAAACATGATCATAATTTATTTTGGTAAAATATACACAATCTAGAGCCCTTTGCCTTTCATATAAGACACTTCTGATACAAAATGATCAACTAGAAGTCAAGTTTTTATTTGTTGTTCCTAAAACTTGGATAGGCAACAAGACTCTTGTTAGCAGGTGTAGAATAAGATCATACAGAATATGTGCTTTATGAGTACAAATAAGCAGCCAATATCTCAATAACCTAGCAACTATGTAATACTGAGAATTGGTCCTTGCGTTACCAAATGTATTCATTTAGGTTGATTGGGATGATTCTGTAGTGCAATGAATCATGTATAAAATGTAATAAACAAATTACAAGCATAAATAAATGCAAAACTGCAAAGATAAAAGTGAAATAAACCATGCATGCTTTATCGTTTGGTATATGTAAATGTAAAAATTACACTGCAATGTGAACTCGGCATTGCAGATCTACAGTTGAAGTCAGAATTATTAGCCCCCCTGAATTATCAGGCTCCCTGTTTATTTTTTACCCGATTTCTGTTTAACGGAGAGAAGTTTTTTTTTTTTTAACACATTTCTAATCATAATAGTTTCAATAACTCATCTCTAAAACTGATTTATTTCATCTTTGCCATGATGACAGTAATTTGACTAGATATTTTTCAAGATACTTCTATACAGCTAAAATTACATCTAAATGCTTAACTAGGATAATTAGGTTAACTAGGCAGGATAGGGTAATTAGGCAAGGTATTGTAAAACGATGGATTATTCTGTAGACTTTCAAAAAAATATTGCTTAAAAGGGCTAATAATTTTGATCTAAAAATTCTGACTTCAACTGTATGTGCGGATGTGCACACATTGCGATATAGATGCTGAAACAACATATGCACAACATATAAACAACCTTACACGTAATGCATATCATGAACATGAAAGGAATATAATGAACTATTCAGTGAAGTGATTTTGAACACGTTAAAATTCTTTTCCAACATTGTAAACAATAGTTCACAAAAAACTAAATCCAGTTTTAATTAACATAATGACAATGCTAGTTCAATCCTTTAAGGAAAATCTCCCTCTCCAAACACAGAAAAACTAAAAACAATAGCTTTATCCCATTTCTAAAAGACTTTTTATCTCCTCCCGCTCTTTATTAGAGAAAAGTCCACAGATAAAACAGGTATAAATCCTAATCTGTTGTTTATGTCTCGGCCTCTTATTTTCTTCTCCTCCTTGCTCTCTCTCTACATCTTTCTCTGTGCTTTTCCTCCCACCCCCTCTTTTCTTTCTCTTCTGAGTGAGGATGGATGGCCAGTAGAGAGACTGATAATGGAGAGCACTGATTAATTTGGCTAGACATAGAGATGTGTGGGAAGTTTGTGTGTATGCTCTAGATTGTGTTTGTTGTGTGGGTGTGTGTGTGCCAGTGAGAGTGAGAGATATTGATCATCTGTTTTTTGTTTGGTGTAGATCAAGGCGTTCCTGTGCACAAGCGTATCCTGCGTTGATAAATCTATGTGTGTGTGTCTCACAGAAATGCAGTATATTACCTGCCGAGCACAAAAGTGTTCAGAGGAGGGTAGGCAGTATCCATTCATTGGCCGAATTGACACCAACTCACTTGTGGTGCAGGACCAATACATCTTCTTACAGGTACAGATATGTGTATGTGTGTGTGTGTGTGTGTGTGTGTGTGTGTGTTTTATGAAGTACATAAGCGTGTGTGATTTGGGCTGGGAGAAACCAAATGTGTGTGATGGTAATCTCTGCCTGACTCTTTTTATAGCTCTCCTTTTATCTCTGTCAGTGGCGTGTAAGTGAGTGATAACCATTGAAACCAGCCTCTCCATCTTTAAAAAGCGGTTCAGGGGAGGACAGGATGGGGTTTTGAGCGAGAATCCCAAAACCCGGACCCTCCTATGCCAATAAAAGCCGACTTTCTTTTGACTTTTGTGGTTTGAAGCCGTTGGATTTGAGTTGACAGAGAATAATGAGGTTATCGATTCAAAAAGCGGAGGAACAAGAGACTGTCTGACACCCCACATCTCTTGCAGGAAAAACACAGTGTTGCTCCATCCTCACCCTGTAAAAGTGGACACACACAAACACACACACACATTTACACACTCTGGACATCTAAGCTCTATTGACACTGGATCAATCGGAGCATTAGAGCCTTAATGCTCTATAGTTACAGCCTAATAGCTACAATCTACTTGATAAGAGTGTTGACAACATGTGCTTTTCTGTACGCTTCAGATTTGGGCAACATTTAGTACATTTACACACACACTAAACGTTCAATATCAGTCTGACCAAAACAACACTTTGTTATCAAAGAGCGTTTTATTTTTGTTAAGTCAGACTAATACGATAGTAAAATCATAAAAACAAGCAATGGTTGCTTATTTAGCATCAGCATTTTTTCTTTAAAGGGCACCTATGGCGATAAATCTGTTTGGACAGACATGTGTGTAAGTTTAGTGTATAGACCGTCATTTTGGGGTGATATAAACACACACAGTCCTTTTTTTTTTCAATTTAACAACATAAAAACGGTGGACCAATTGGAGCGGTTTTCAGACTGACTGCAACTTTACGTAGGAGAGCGGTCCCCCCGCCCACCAATATTGATTGACAGCCTCGCGTCACGATCATATCCTCAGTTTCTTGTTGCACGTCCACCATTTTCAGCATGTGAGTCAAAGCCATATCACTAAAGAAACATGCATGCTCTATTTTTTGATGAAAAGCTCATTGGGCTCAACACAAGATCAATATTCTCCACATTATTGCTGTAATCGGAATTATTGCTTGTACCTTTTGTGTGGTGTGGCGCTGTGCATTTCGAAGTTCTGTGCGTGGGTTTCTGTCTGGGTGCATGCGGCGGAGCTTCGGGTCAGCGGCTTGGTGGCCGTGGCGCCGTTGTGTTTGCCCTGGTGGAAGCTTGTGTTTGGAGTTCTGGAATGCGTGGCGCGACGATTCAGGACACTTCATGTTTCTGCCGCGTCACTGAGTGTCTGGTGTGCCGTGTCATGGCGCATTCGGTGCCTTAGTCAAAGTTAATTCAGTGTCTGTGGTTATTAGTCTCAGAGAACACGCTCGGAACTTGTACACCAAGACTATACAAAGACACAAATTATTTTGTACTCTCTGCTTTGTCTGTGTTCGAGTCATACATGTATGGCTGAATGCTCATCCTAGCTTAGCTTAGCTTCTCTCTCTCTCTCTGTCAGCCTGTCTGTTGCAAACACAGAGCGTGGGAGCCCCTTGTTATGTTGGGCAGGAAGCCGAAACTGTGAAGCAACATGCCCTTAAAACAGCAAACTGTGTAAATGCCCCCAACATGACACTTTTTAACACATTATAATAAAAACATCTGAACTGTGTGTTGAACTGAACCTAAACTGGCACACTCAGAAGAACCATAATATTAATATTAAATCATAAAAAAGGGGTAAACTATGTGCCCTTTAATGTAATAACATATATAATAGTACCATTTCAGATGTACACACTGGCAACTAGTGCGTGTTTGTGTCTTTGTGAAATAGATGAAGGGTTGAAGGTATTATCTAGTGAAACAGAAAGCATTTATTATTAAAAAAAACAAAAAAAAAACATATTTAGTTATTTATTTACTCGACCAAAATGTTTTTTTCCTTGTTCAACTTCCTATATCATGCTATTTTAGCACACTGCCTGACTGTATACATGAGGTAATTTGCTTTCACATACTCATTGCTACAGGTTCGGTGTGTTTTTTCCACACAAAAGGGTTTTATGTGTCCCCAATATGCAGAGAGTGATTAGATAAGAAGATATAAACTGCATATTCTTGATTACGTGTGAAGTAGTGGACGTGTGTGTCACAGCACATAGTATACCTTGTATTTTAATGCTGGATCGATTAAAATAGTTATCAATGTGGCCAGACGGAATCCCCAGACATTGTTTTGTTATTTCTTTGCAGAATTTAGCTAAATAAATCTGTGAATTTATGCGGAATGATTTTGGGAGTATCAATTAAATTCTTTATTTCTGTAGCACTCTTGCAATGTAGATTGCGTCAAAGCAGCTCAACATAAAAGTTCTAGTAAATTAAAACTTTCTCAGTCCAGTTTTCAGTGTTTAAGTTCAGTTTACAGTAGGTCGGATTAAATTTAGTTTAGTTAGAATTAAATTTCACTGCTTAAAGTCCAAATTAAATATTCATCAAAGGTAGCAACACCAAAGCTACATAAATACAAATTTATTAAATTAAAAAGACTGACACAAAGCGTGTAACGTTTCGAGCCATACGGCTCTTCATCAGACAGTGTTCATCACAATCAGGTGCTCCTTTTTGTACTGTTCCGAAACTTTTTACAAAAAGGAGCACCTGATTTTTGATCAAACCGCGTGGCTTGAAACGTTACACGCTTTATGTCAGTATTTTTAATTTAATAAATTTGTATTTTTGGAGCTTTGGTGTTTCCGCCTTTGATAAATGTTTAATTAGCATCTTTTGCATTTTTTTGGGCTGAGCACCCAGTTAAGAGGGATATGCGTCCTTTTGTACAGTTTTTCACTGCTTAAAGTCCAAACAATGAAGAGCAAATCCATCGATGTGCAGCTCCACAAGACCCAAACCAAGCGAGCCAGTAGTGACAGTGGCAAGGAACGAACTTTACCAATTAATAAAAGTAAAGAAAAAAAACCTTGAGAGAAACCAGGCTCAATTGGACACAACTATTTCTCCTCTGGCTAAGTTGCAGTCTAGGCACCTAGTATCATAGTATCATAACTAAAAAATTTGCATTTGAAATAAAAAATAATACATGTTTAACTTTAACATTTAAAATCTGTGCACACAGATCGGCAATTAATCAATCATCAAGTAATCATTTGCATCCCTTGTATTGAGTATACCTCATTTGGTAATATTATACACAGTAGACTTACCTGACACAAAGAACAAACAAACTGCACAAAGTCAGTTCTTATTTAAGAAAGAAACAATTGACAGAATTACAATACACAAGGCACAGATACAAACTGTATCTACATGCTCAATTTGGGTGCTGTTGCAATGGCAGATAAACAGCAGAAGGGTATATTAGGCTGCTGGCACTTGCAGATCAATACACTGTTTCCAATGTTTCAAACTGTTTTTCCCCCAAATGGTTTGACATTTTGCCAATCATATGCACAGAGACTTACAGTGAGACTGACTTACTGAATTTACTTCTCTGCAGTATATTTTAAATACATATTTTTAGTACTATCAAGCATATCATAAGGTGCGTCCCAAATCGCACACTTATGCACTATTCTACGCCATTTTGTAGTATAAATAGTGTAAGTAATGCAGTCACACTGAAAACTCAAAAAAAATAATAAGTGCACTTTAAATAACCAGATAATGCACTTATATTTAACCAGTAAAAGGAAGTGTGGAATGATGGACACTTCACGCACACAACAACCACTGCTTTGCTCACGTATTGGAAGGGGCGGAGCTATCGGGCCCACATGCTGGATTACTGTATTTATTTTGTATTGTGAAAGCAAAATTCTCCTACGAGAGTGATTATACCGCTTCCCGATGGTGAATGCAGTTATACTCATGGCAGTTGTTATTTGGTAGTTTGGTCATTTATTTAATAATTTGGCAACCATGAAATGTCATTAGAGAAATGGTTTGAATTTCCGCTTAGTAAAACTACATACATATACTTTGCTGTTGAGTGTGTAAGTGCATAGTGCATAAGTGTATATAGTCTGCCACTTGGGACGCAACTATACTTTTTTTTTTTGGTACTGACCACATATTTTACAAGTTATTAAATGTGTCTAACACTCAGGATCTGTTAGCCGATGCAGTGGTGGCAATTAGTGTAGCTAAGCATTGTGTAACCTTTAACCCCAACTACTGTTCCCCTTTCAAAATGATCCAAGACATTTTTAAAAAGAAACCAACATAATTAAAAAGAAGATTGGTCAGAGGAGAAATGGTCGTGCTCAACTGAGCCAGATTTCTCTCTAGGTTTTTTTTTTTCACTTTTGTCAATTGGTTAAGTTTGTTCTTTGCCACTGACTTGATTGGTTTGGGACATGTGGAGGTGCGCATCGAGCGAGTTCCACTTCAATGTTTCAGTAGGGAAAATTAAACTACACTGAATGGAATTAACAGTAAATTTTCCATCTCAAATGGCACCCTGGACGAACCACCTCATATACCCCCCTCAATTCTCCTACAAATAGTTGCAGGGTTACATCTAGTTATGAAAAAAGAAACTTCTAAAAATGTTTGTTGTTTTAACCCAATTTTGGGTAAAGTAGGGGCAAAATCACAATTGGGATTATTAAAAATATTTTTATTCAATATAAATACCATTTTTCTAAATAAATTACAAAAAACAATCCTAAATGTAACAGGAAAACCATGTAAATAATAAACTGGTGTGATATGCTAAGATCACTTAAGAAACATTTAGCATAAATATTATGACAATTCTATAAAACACAAAAAATATATGTTTTATAGAATTATCTGTTCATCTTAGACCCGACTCAAGGCCGAGAATTGTTATTAATTGTTACTAATTGTTATTATTCTTATTAAGTCTTACCTCCCTGACTCAATATCCCTCCTTTCTGCTTCATAACAATGCTTAGTCAAAATTCGATCATCATCATATCATATACACTTATTCTGGAATCACCACTCTAAATTAATATATTGATTTTTACCGGGGCATGTTTTATTTATTTATTTTTTTTCCTCAGCAAGATGCCACCCTAGGCAATCCCATATTGCCCATGCCTAAAACCACTGCTAAGAATTAAACTGAACTTGACTCTGAAAACTGCACTGACACAGATTCAATTTACTTGAACTTCTATGTTAATCTGCTTTGTCACAATCTACATTGTAAAAGCTCTAGAGAAATAAAGATGGATTAATAACATGTGTATCAGCCAGACCTGCTGTGTTAACAAACTTGTGCATTATTTTGCCACTCACTCTGGAGTTTTTGTTTTTTGTCAGTGACTAATGTCCAATGTAAATTTACTTTGCCAAAATATTAGTTTATTTTAGTGGTTCCCAAACTTTTTGCTGTGTGCACCCCTTTCTAATATTTGACACTTGTCCTGCAACCCTTTCTCCACTAAACTCCACATTTTTACTACAATAACTAAATACACATATTTTGTGTGTACGTGATTAAAATAAAAATAATAAAATGAGTGAATTTAATATATTAGCTTTTACGAATTTGATAATTTTCACAGCGCCATTAAGTGCAGATAAAAGTTAATCTGGCATGTTTTACATCGCTAGAGCTTCTTGGTGGATGCTGTAGTGTACCCAGGAAACCCATGGTGCAACTTTTCAGATGAAGGCTACTGCTGCTTTTTGCCTCCTATTTACTTCTTCTGCAATTTCTCCAATCTTCCATGAAAAAAAAAAAAAACGTACAGGCTCGTCTTGTAAGTGGCCGTGTCTTATTTGTAAGTGCCGGACCATAAATGAGGGCTTAACACTGCTATTAACTAAAACCTCACCACAGACTACAGATTGCACATTTGGATTTTTCGGCATCTCCAATCCATGTAAACCTGAAACCAATGAAACTCTTGCTATATTGGCATTTCTTACTTGACATTTTCTCACTCTCTAGCTTAGGCCTAATTCTCTTCATTAGTACATCTCTGCTGGATTTCTCTGTTTCCGCCTGAGCCCCTTCAACTCGTTCGCTATCCTCCAAGTCTATATATTCAAGGCTGCTGCACGTCTCCATAGAAGAGGCTGATGTAGATGGTTTATCCCTACTGTCACTTGACTTCTTTAAAGTGCCAGTTTTTAACCAGGTGTCCATTCGGATGAATATAGTCAATGGAAAAAAAATCTTAATGTACTATAAGTTAGTGCCTAATGTGAAAGGGTGGGGCTTTTGTGACGCAGACGTGAAACCGTGAGATGAGTATGCATAGGTTGTAAATAACAATTTGTAATGTGATTTTTTTCTCTCTCAGTGAATTTCTTTTCTCTCAAAAATATGACATGTGGAGTTTACCCAAGATAAATGCATGAAAATAATAAAAGAAAAGTTTCTGCCATTACAAACATTCTCTCACGCACCCCTGGTGGTCAGACTGCGCACCCCAGTTTGGGACCGCTGGTTTAGTTGATAATTAGAAGACAGCTCTTGTAACTTCTCTAACATATTTTTTATGTTGCATTATATTTGTTATTATATCTAAAATCTGTTTCACTACATGTGTCAATTCTTTTATTACTAGTGTAAAAACAGACGATAATGTCTTCACTGTCAACACAAACACACTGGTTTAAATTTGACAGAAAACTGCAGTTTCTGCGAGAACAGGTTTACAGTTGTGTGCCAACATAAATCTAGTGACATGTCATAATATTCTGCAGAAATGTAAAAAATTGTATAAATGCCAGACACTGCTTTCCCAAACACTTGCAGTACATGTAGAAACAGTTTGCTGAATTCTTGTGAAGCAAGCACGCCTGAAATGCTGAAAACACCAAATCAGGAGCAATAGGACGTGTCTTCGATGATAGACAGGCAAACATTAGTCCTGACTGGGGTGAAGTGCTGATCTGTTGTAAGTACTTGTAAGTGCTTTCTCTGACGGTTTCGTGTGTGTGTGTGTGTGTGTGTGTGTGTGTGTGTCTGCTTTTGTGTCTCAGCTAACTACAGCAGGAAGAACTACATACTTTGTGTCCTATCAACGAGGGCCCTTTAGGACCATACAGCTCCCTAAATACTGTCTGCCCAAAGTAAGATACATGACGCAGCAGGAGCTGTCACAAAAAGGTTGTCAGATGAGATGTATGTGGCTCTAACAGCTGTTCTCCATACAGGACATGCACATTGTCAGTACAGATGAGGGCCAAGTGTTGGCAGCCGTGCAGGAGTGGAACGAAAATGACACCTACAGTCTGTACATCTCTGACACACCTGGTGTCTACTTCACCCGCTCGCTCCCAAACCTCAGAACATCCCGCGGCCTCGCAGGAAACCTCATCGTAGATGTCTACAAGGTCTGCCATTTTCACTGCATAGCCTGATTTAAGCTTAAGGATAGGAGCACCATCGATTCGTTCTGTGCAATTAGGAAAACTTTGATAATTAGCATGGCTTTCTCCAGAAATACGTGAAAAGTAGAACAGGGTATAGTGCAATGCAGCATAAAACAGCTGTGTTTGAAGTTCTACCATTAAACATTATGAATACAAAGAGAAGAAGAAAAATCTGATAATGAGAGCAACCGAAAATATCCAGAAACTGAGGTGTAAGCAGAAATGCAAAGAGAAATGAATGTTTCTGCAATAATATACAACCTGATATCTTCTCGTCCTTACAACCAAACAACACAAACTAGTATCTGTAACACTAGTTATCTGTAATACACACACAGACAAGGATGATATATTTGAAATATTTGTTTAAAAGTGCTGTATGTACGTTTTTGACTCTTCTAAAGTATAAAAATATCATAATACGTTTGCAGATATTTAAGAAACATGCCAAGTGAACATTCTTGTTTATCTGAAAAACAACCAACACAGGCTGATTCTGAAAACGCAGTCCCGAGGATGTTTCTGGAGATCGCAAATTATGTAACACCGAGGCGGTATAACGCTGCTCCTTTTGGCTGATTCAAAAAACGTAGTCCCGAGGATGTTTCTGGAGACCGCAAATTACTTAGCACGGACGTACCTATGGCTGCATTTAATTTTTTTAAGTGAACACTACAAGGCGGTATGACGCCATTCCTTTCGGCGCTTACCAGCTGACTGCTTACCTCCATGTGGAGGGCTTTTCCACCGCAACCAGTTTGTCCAGTTAGCTCGTCGTGTACGTCAGCGGATTTGAGGTGCAGAGAGAAGTTGACCAAGATGACGACGATGACCGGGATCGAGTTCCGGGAACAGCGGTTCCAGAAATAAGATAAGACAAAAACAGAATCCAAAAACTAAAAAGAACGAGTGAACAACAGGGTGAGAATGTGGTAAATCTGAAAACATGGTAAAAATCAGACGAGGGCTTTTCTTTTTCTGGATGGCTTTTGTAAACCGTAGGTTGGGTTTAGGGAAGTAAGCGGGCAGGCAGGTCAATCTTTAAAATTGGTTATGTTTAGGAAAGGAGGAGGGTGGGTCTGTCGATTGGCCAGTCGCCCAATCAATCATTCAGTCATTCAGTCGGTCGACAGTGGCCTCTAATGGGTTTACGCGAGAACAGCACAGGCGTGAACGGCACTTGCGAGAGACATTTGAGATGCAAAAAAGTGCACAGAGCACCCTCTTGCATTTTCGTGAAAACAAATACTGCAAAAATACATACCTCCCGGGACGTATTTTGCGGGCTCCAGAAACGTCCACAGGACTACGTTTTTAGAATGAGCCTGTGTTGGAAACAATGCTGAAGTCAGATATTCTGCTTTGAAAATGCCTGTTATGTGCCAGAACACCTGTCATTGTTTTGGTTCTTTTAACCCAACTTAAGCCAATTTAGCGTATTTTTTTTTCAGCTCCCTGGGTTGCTTTAGAGGAAAACCCCGTATTTCATTCATTCATTCAGAAAGGCTCTCAAAGCATGCACCAGTGACCGAAATGCGACCTCCAAGCCGAATTCAAAATAAGACGCAGATTCAGAGCTCCACATGAGGTTATAAATTAGCAAATAATATAAATATTACGAACGTAAACATTAGACGAGCAAACTACATTGTAACCTCATATGCACTCACTCACAAAATGGTAAGATGTATAACAGCACTATTCCATTGGCAGCCCACGGGTCGAACTAGGCCCTCGAGGCAATTTGCTCCAATAGTGTGACGAAGACATCAAAAATAAATTTAGTTTAGTCGAAAAACTGCCACAACAGTTATGAAGAGATGTGCGTCTGTTTAATACAGCACGAGCTGTAGTTGAAGGCTACACAGAGCGAGTGTCACCAGACATTAAGCGAGTGATGCGAGCAGCCGAAAACATTTCGGTCTTTAACAGTCTTTAGTAAGTAATTTACTAACATGTTCATGATCTATTACTAATGTATTAGGTATAGTTATAAATCATAAAAAACAGTTAACAAGTCAATTTTAACTTGTTAACTAACAGCTTATAAATTATCTGTTGGCTATCTATAAGGCACAGTTATAAATAATTAACAAACTATTAACTTTTAAGTCAGTTATAACTCATTAACTAACAGTTTATTAATGATCTTATAACTAGTTATAATGGATATTTATTCTAAAGTGTTACCAATAATTCTCTTCTATCTTCCCAATAGTAATCCAGAATAATCCCCATAATCTTCCAAAATAATTCCAATCAGTCAAATTAAATGAATTGTTTACAAATAGAGCTATTCAAGAAATCTGGTGAAATTGCATTCACATCGCAAAATAAATTGTAGCAAAACAAAGTATTGAATGTCAATTTATTCCAATGTCATGCAGCTTTAATTTGTACATTATTAAAAATCCAAATATTTTGGTTCAGATCATTGTTTCCTGTTCTGTAGGTTTCCGGCATAAGTGGGATGATAATAGCCAATAAGAAAGAAGATGCACAGATGAGAACATATATCACCTACAACAAAGGCCAGACATGGAGTTTACTACAGCCTCCAGCCAAAGACACTACAGGACATGACGTCAACTGCAACCTGGTGAGACCATTTTAGACCAGTCATGAAGACACTGCCAAAAAGTCATAAATAACCAACATAATAATTATAATAAAATAACGTTGATACTAATACAGTAACATACCTACTTTTATTAAAAATAGCAAGCCCATCATACACAACCACTATATCCATTACATTATAGTCTCTCTCACACACACACACTTGACTAGTGTGATGAAAACAAGACATTACAGTATTGACACAGTTTCCCCTTTCACACGTTTTACAGTGAAGCTCTGCAGAGAGGATTTCCTAACACAATAGCTCTGAATTCAGTGCTTTCTGATGGTTTGATTAAGACATACTACCTGCTCTGTATCTTTGTAATGACTTTCACTGATGTTTTACACTGTTCTGGAAGATTGGTGATTTCAATTAAGACACACATTGAACAACTTGAGTTCATTTATCGGTAAATCTCGGAAAATCTTAATTACTTTTTTCCCCGCTGCACCAAAAGACAGTGGCTTCCGTGTTTGCACATGTGTTGTGATTCTTTAGAAAGACAAGATGAAAGTTTTTTTTCCCCCTCAGTCCTTGTGGTTTGGGTATTTTGGGACTTATTACTAACTTTAAACAACCGCTGGTACAAGAATTCAAAAGCTTGTTGCCTTGTGAAAACAAGTTTACCGCTTGCTTGCATACGTAATTAGTTTTGAATCACTAGGTGGTTGATTGCGTTTGTTTAACTGCACTGATTTTTGACATGGTGACTTGATGCTGAATTCTAATTGGGGTAATTACATTATGAGTTTTTGAAGCTCTGAAATCGACTATTTGACTTTTGTTGGTTTTCAGAAAAAGAACTGGGTCACGCTAATTGTAAGGGATACTAAAAATATGGACAGAATCCGAAACGGATTAATTTGCACAGCTTTTGAAAGCAGATGCTACAGTCTATTGATGCAGGGGAGATTATGGAGATCAATGTAAATGCATTGAAATATGAGTTAATACTGTGTAATGTTCTGATTTCCAGCCGTCGTGCTCCCTGCACCTTCACCTGCAGATGTCTGAAAACCCCTATACACCTGACACTATCTCCACCAAACAATCCGCTCCAGGGATTATAGTGGCCACAGGTGTGTGTAACTGTGCCACTTTCTTTATTTGTTTTTATGCCTCTGGCATCTCGAGCGCGTTCCCTCAGGAGTCTCTGATAAATTACAGTGTAAACGTGCATGCTTTTAAATGCAGATGGAATTTTGGTAGCCACATCATGGCTTTCAAGTTGCTACATCCTTCTGCTTTTCAACCGCAGAGTTTGGCACGATTGGAGGAAAAACTCATTTCACACTGTTCTTTTGCTTGTCAGACTCATTATAAAGTTATCTTCAAAACTCAAGCTCAAATAGCTTCCTGCGTGAGTCTAGATAGATGCACGCTCAAAAAGTTAGCCATGCAGAGCACGCAGAAAATATGACCGGTGTCTTCCACATTCATAATTGCCTGTCATGTCCGACAGCTGTTCCGCAATCACTTTCCCATGCTCAGAGTGTATAAATATGGGATTTGAAAAAATATGTTTTTTTTGTCACTGCAGGCAGCTTTACCAAACATTCTCCATCAGGTGTCATGATGATTGTGGTTTTGAGGGCACTCAAACCCATCTGACATTAACCCCAGCAGACAATGTTTACCAGGAATTCATAGGGGAAATCATATAAAATACAGTATGTATTTACAAGTATACTGATGTGCATTGGCAAAATGTAACACAGTCGGGTTAATCTAAATGACTAATCTCAGACTAGGGGCTTTCAAATAGTGTCCAGAAAAAGAGTGTATTTACATAACATGTATTTTTATCACTTAAGATATTAATAAAATACATAATGATTTTTTACAAAATTTATTTAAGACTGTTTAGAAATTATGAGATTGCTAGTTATTATTCTGTCAGTTTTGTACAAAACAAAAATTTTTTAAGAGAAAGAAACTATGCATATGCTTAAAAAATAGGGTTTCTCTCATACATGCTGTAATGTATTATGTGGGTGTCATGGTGGCGCAGTGGGAAGCACGATCGCATCACAGTAAGAAGGCTGCTGGTTGTCATTTCTGTTTGGAGTTTGCATGTTCTCCCTGTGTCTACATGGGGGTTTCTTCGGTTTTCCCCACTGTCCAAAAACATGTGTCGTAGGTGAATTGAATAGACTAAATTGGCCGTAGAGCACAGGTGTCAAACTCAGTTCCAAAAGGGCCGCAGCTCTGCACAGTTTAGTTCCAACCCTAATTAAACACACCTGATCAAACTAATTGAGTCCTTCAGGCTTGTTTGAAACCTACAGGTAAGTGTGTTGGAGCAGGGTTGGAACTAAACTGTGCAGGGCTTCGGCCCTCCAGGAATTGAGTTTGACACCCCTGCCGTAGAGTATCAGTGTGTGTAAACAATTGTGTTGGGTGTTTCCCAGTACTGAGTTGCAGCTGGAAGGGCATCCAAAGCGTAAAACATATGGAATAGTTGCTGATTCATTCTGCTGTGGCGACCTCTAAAATAGAGACTAATGAATGAATGAACTTTTTTTGTTGTTGTTAGAGTCTTCGCATTAAGGAGTTTGAAAACCTCTGCTTTAGCTGTAACCGACAAGTATGGCTCATCTAACATCACTTTAAAAAAAAAAAAAAAAAAAAACATGTCTATTAACAATTATAATTTACTAGTTTTGCCTTTTAATTCTATATAGGTCTTTAAAGTATAATAGGGATAATTTACCCACAATTAACATTCTGTCATCATTTACTTACCATTGAGTGGTTATAAACCTTATAAGTTTCTTTCTTTTGTTGAACACGAAAGAAGATATTATGAAGAAAGCTTTAAACCTGTAACAATTGACATCCATAGTAAGAAAAACAAATACTATGGAAGTCAATGGTTACACATTTTCAGCTTCTTTCAGAATATATATTTTTGTGTTCAACAGAATTAAGAAACCCGTAAGTTTTGAACAAGTAAAGGGTGAGTAAATAATAAAAGAATGTTCAGTTTTGGGTAAACATCTCTTTGATTCTGTAAATGTTCTTGTTTGTATGTTCAAAATTACCCAAATTCATTTAATACATCTGACTTTCTCAGAGACCTCTGACTTCTGCTCTCTTCTATTTTGTTTTCATTTTTCTTTTAGCGTTAGAATTTCTGTTATAATCTAATGAACTGATTTAAATCATCTCATCCAATCTTCTAATATACAGTTGAAGTCAGAATTATTAGTCCCCTTGAATTATTACCCCCCTGTTTATTTTTTCCCCAATTTCTGTTTAAAGGAAAGAAGGTTTTTTAAACACATTTCTAAAAATAATAGTTTTAATAACTCATTTCTAACAACTGATTTATTTTGTCTTTGCCATGATGACAGTAAATAATATTTTCCTAGATATTTTTCAAGACCCTTCTATACAGCTTAAAGTGACATTTAAAGGCTTAACTAGATTAAGTAGATTAATTAGACAGGTTAGGGTAATTAGGCAGGTTATTGTATACTGATGGTTTGTTCTGTAGAATATCAAAAAAAATACATAATAATAAAAAATAAAATATTAATTTTGACCTTAAAATGTTTTTTAAAAATTGAAAACAGCTTTTATTCTAGCCGAAATAAAACAAAAAAGACTTTCTCCAGAAGAAAAAAAACATTATCAGACATACTGTGAAAATTTTCTTGCTCTGTTAAAAATTATTTGGGAATTATTTAAAAAAGAAAAAAAAAAAAGGGGGGGGGGGGCTATTAATTCTGACCTCAACTGTACTGTATACAGGTATCTAACAATGTATGGTTAATAATAATCCAAGATTTTTCCTCCCAGGTAACATTGGACCTGAGCTTTCCTTCTCTAATACAGCTATGTTTATCTCCTCTGATGCCGGAAACACATGGAGACAGGTAAAGCCCTCACCTGCTTGAGTGCTTACTGTATTGCATTTATACTCACTGTAAACACTGTCTTTAGATTTTTGAAGAAGAGCACAGCGTCTGGTTTTTGGACCATGGAGGGGCTTTATTAGCTGTTACACAGTCTGCTGTACCCACACGCTATTTATGGTAAGACGTTTCATACACATTTTTTTCATACAAACACATATTTGGAAGACAATATTTTACACTGTGTGAACTTAAATTGTTGGTGCAAAATGACTAGTCTGGATAGAAAAGAAAATTAACTTACAAATTAGGGCTGTCAATTTAGCGCATTAATTATATCAAAGAGTTACAGGGGAAAAATTATGTTTAAATTTTTAATGGATTTAATTAATTCAAGATACTGAGGCATTTTTGAAGTATTTCCTCACATTTGTAACATTTGATAGATTTAAGCAATATCACACAAGGGCTGTTTTATCCTGAATAGCACAAGTGCAAATGTGACATTGATTCTGTACAACAGTAAATAAGTTTACATTGAGTTATAATTTTTACACAATATTGTTTGTGTGTGTGTGTGTGTGTGTGTGTGTGTGTGTGTGTGTGTGTGTGTGTGTGTGTGTGTGTGTGTGTGTGTGTGTATATATATATATATATATAAATATATATATATATATATATATATATATATATATATATATATATATATATATATATATATATATATATATATATATATATATATATATCAAATGAGGGGCGGCATAGTGGCTCAGTGGTTAGCACGGTCATCTCATTTCTGTGTGGAGTTTGCATGTTCTCCCCGTGCTGAGTTTCCTCAGGGTGCTCCGGTTTCCCCCGCAGTTCAACACATTCATTAAATTAATTAATGAACCTACGAATCAACACCTTGTGTGAATGAGCTTTGTTTGGTAGCTTGTTTCAAAGTTAAAATAAAGCAGAAAATTTCAATTTTGTGTCTTAAATGTAACTTGTCAAATATGAACCGCTTGTTTATATAAAATCAGGGTCATATTTGAAATTGTACTGACACAATTTACTTGTTACATCCTGCTGCAATGTTACTTAAATGTACATCACAATCAATTTAGCAGCTCAACAGTTTATCTAAGTATGTTTTCCTCTGAGAGTTTTTGTTTGCTATATGTATTGATTCAGGCCCATTGCCAGGGAGGGTTTGGGTGGCATGAAAGACCCACCCCTGACTGATAAAGGTCCAGACCAAGCAGGATTCTATGTTGGCTGTTGGTACAGAGTTTGGGATGTAAAATTTGGCACAGCATGACTTCCCGCTCTAAAATCACATCATGCCAAATTCGGCATCCCAAACTTTGACTCAGGAAAGCTAAATTTGCTGGTCAGTTTGTTGTCCTAATAAATGACACTAGGCTATAGTTTTTAATTTAAAACTTTACAGATTCCTTTTTTTTCCCCCTAATGATATATGATGTATTACATTTGTATTTTAGGCAAGGCAAGTTTATTTATTTCATATTATTTTATTCTAAATCTTTGGGAAATGTTTTTGGTACATCAAAAAGTATGGTTGTAATGACCACCTAACAAGCTAATTCAGCAAAAAAAAAAATGCTTAAAATGTCACTAAAATGCTGCATTTAAATCTCATAATGAAATAAAAATTAAGCGAATAACAGGAAAAAGGTCAATTTTTTGAGAAAAAAAAACAACCCTTTTACCAGGCTGGCTACGGGCCTGTGATTTGCACACAAGCTTCAGTTGTGTCTCAGACAAGTGAATCTCACTCTCTGCAAAGCTCTAAAAAATAATACGTACTTTTAACCCTACTGAATTATTAGCCCCCCTGTATTTTTACCCCCAATTTCTGTTTAAACAGAGAGAAGAATTTTTCAACACATATTTAAACATAATACTTTTAGTAACTAATTTAGGCAAGTCATTGTATAACAGCGGTTTGTTCTGTGGAATATGAAAAACAATATTGCTTAGGGGGGCTAATAATATTGACCTTTGAATGGTTTTTATAATATTAAAAATGACTTTTGTTCTAGCTGAAATAAAACAAATAAGACCTTCTCCAGAAGAAAAATATATTATAGGAAATACTGTGAAAAATTTCTAGCTCTGTTAAACATTATTTGGGAAATGTGTGAAAAAAAAAAAGGATCACAGGAGGGCTAACAGTATATGATAGAGAACACTAGAGAGTTCATTACAGTTCATCTCTAACTTTTTGGGATTTTTATTTTTTATTCAGACTACATTTTTGAAGTTCCCACATGCTTTAACATCAGCTTTGATTTGAGGACTGGCAGATAGAAACAGCAGGCAATAGGTCTTATCATATCAAACATTTGGAATCCTTTCAGCAGAAAGTGCCTGTCATGGCTTTGTAGTGCAGGTGCCAGTGTTTGTCAGGGCTTTTATGCTCATGTTGGGAGGGTTAAGGTTTGAAACAGAGGTGGGATTCGGTGGGCTTCCGTTCACATGTTGTTCCTGCCACGTCACACATGCGGCTTTGATGTGCTAAGCTCTGAAACGTTGTCAGGATCAATTAGACTGCAGCGGATAATTTGTATCCTCCTGTGGGTTGCTGATGCTAGAGCAGGAGTGTGATGTGTGTGTGTGCGGGTGTTCAGCCATCAGATCGCATGAGTTTGACCCATATCTTCAGTGACAAAAACTCATTCCTTTCTTCATGAAAAAAGGACATAAAAAGATTGTTAGAAACAATAGAATGTAGAGAACCGTAAGCTCGTGAAAGCTTATAAGTGGATGTTCAAGAGACATTATTGAAAGCACTTTAACATGATCTTTCAAAAACAATTTGGGCCTAAAGAAAAATGGAAAACAGTTGCTGCTTGTGGATACTGTGGTGTTAGATTTTTTTCCAGCATTTTTTATGAAGTGAAGTTTATTCATAAACTAATTTCGAGAGGATCACGTGCTTAGGATTTATCACGGCCGGTCTCGCATTTGCTAATCACTATCTTCCAATGATATGAGCCCTAAGCTACTATAAATAGCCACAGTTTTCAGTTCACTTTATCTTCGTTTGGAATAAACCCCCCTCTTCCCCTATTCTCCTCCTTTACCTGTGATTGGGCAGCACGGCGGCCCAGTGGTTAGCACTGTGAGCCCCACAGCAAGAACACTGCCAGCTCTGGTTCCACAGGACCGGTGGGTGCTTCTGTGAGGAGTTTGTATGTTCTCCCCGTGTCTGCGTTGGTTTTCCCCGGGTTCTCCGGTTTCCTCCCACCATCCAAAGACATTCAACATACATAATAATCAAGCTTTGTTTAACCCCTTGTGTTCCCTTAGCTACCGCAGCAGGGGAGTTCTGAGATCCACCGAGCTCAGGCTCCCCTCTTGCTCTGCCAACGGGAGGAAGCCCCGGGCTCGAGGAGTGCTTGAGCTCGGGACTCTCTCCCGGGACAGCATGCCAAACAACCTTTTAGAAATCCTCAGCTAAGTGTGAACTCTTGAATAGAAATTTAAAAAGGCCCACATTTATCACACCTTTCATCAATTTAATCTTGATACGTTCAGATTTTTATGTCTAATTTAATGATTGTACAAACTGTGCTAAATTATTTAAAGCAATATTTCTACTTTGGCCAATAAATATGCCAGGACAATGCTTTTTTTCTTTTATAGGGATGCTATGCAGACTGGGGTAGTTCCAAATGCAACTTTGTTTTGAGAATGTTCAGACAGTCAGGGGTCAAAAACCAGCTTAAACAGTATAGTAGACAATCCAAAAGCGTAATCCAAAAACAGGTGAGACGTTCAGGGCACGCGCAGTGTTTGCGTGCGTGCTGCGTAAGTGTGTGCGTGCATGTCCAAATCACTATCAGCTGTGGCAGGTGTGATTGGTGCTTTTGGGATATGTAGTTCAGTAGGAAGTGATTTCCAATGGAGAAAACAGCTGATGATTACAACAAACTAAAGGAAGAAATCTCCAGCTGAGCACGAACATTCTTGTCCAGGAAAATGTCATTTAATAACACAATTACAAAAGTACCAATTCTCACTATTAACTAATGGCTTGTTCACTTTATTCTTCACAAAGACTCCCAGTTTCATTTACGTCTATTCGTTTTTAGAAGTAAATAAAAGCTTGTTGTGCTGCTTGATGTTGCAGACTTATGTTTTTTTATTATATAATTTTACATGGTCTGTACAGTCATGCAAACACTTGTTTGTAAAGCAAGTAGTTTGACTGTTTTCTGCGGTTTATTATTATTATTATGCGGTTCATCTCTCTCATAGACGACTGAATCGAAAGTTCGCAAAACGATCACAAAAATGAGCGTACTTCTGCATTGAAGAACAAGGTCAATTTCTGCCTATTATCAAGATATTGGTGCAATGGGTAGCACAATCGCCTCACAGCAAGAAGGTCGCTGGTTTGAGCCCAGGCTGGCTCAGTTGGCATTTCTGTGTAGAGTTTGCATGTTGTTCACTTGGGTTTCCTCCAGGTACTCCGGTTTCCCCCACAAGTCCAAAAACATGTGGTATATAAATGAGCAATATCACACGAGCCATATCGCAGCAATTTTGCACTGCTACGAGTGTGATATTGCGTTTATACAACAGTTTGATGGCATAATTGTGTATATAAAAACAAAATCAAACATGGAGAGTCTCAAAAACCGCTTTGTATGAGGAACTACTTTCTTCCGGATTCAAATCATAAGCTGACAGTTAAACAGTTGAGTGTGCATCTTTTAAAATTTAGATCTGTAGTGTCTGCTTTTTACTGGTTGTATGTGGGCGGAGTAATACACAAAGGGTAAAGAGACTGTAGGAGTTCTGATATTGCAGAATATCGCACGGCTATTAGCCAATCAGATTTGAGAACCAGGCAAATCTCGAAAAATGTAAAACTGCTCTTAACAGTCTTTCATTTATTTTGTTTTTGGCTTAGTCCTTTTATTAATACAGGGTCACAGGTTTATTAATACAGGGGATGCCCTTACAGCCGCAACCCAACACTGGGAGACATCCATACACACTCGTTCACACACATACACTACAGCCAAAACTTATTCACTTATTTAGTTATAAACTAATTTCGAGAAGATCACGTGATTATGGTTGAACACGGCTGGTTCTGCATTAACTATGTATGATCCACCAATCAGACGATTTCTAACCCACTATAAAAAGCCAGGGTTTTTTCACTACAGTCATCTTCGATTTGAAGAATCCCCCCTTCCACCCCTACTCCTCCACCTTTCCCTTCATAGGGCAGCACGGTGGCCCAGTGGTTAGCACTGTTGCCTCACAGCAAGAACGTCACTGGTTCTAGTCCTTTGAAAGGCTGGCTGTCTGTTCTGTGCAAAGTTTGCATGTTCCTCCCGTGCTCACGTGGGTTTCCCCTGGGTTCTCGGGTTTCCTCCCACTTTCCAAAAACATGCAGTACAAGTGAATTGATTAATCTAAGTTTAGCACTACAGTCAAACTCTCATCCAGCAGCATATCTCTTCACAGCATTCATTTTAGTCATCAGCTTTTGTCAAAAAGGACCTTTTGAGCTCAGGGCTTTCTCCCGGGACAGCATGCCAAACTTGCTTATAATCAATCATCAGCTAAGTGTGAACTATTGAAACGTATAGCGCATGTGAAACCGGAGCACCCAGAGAAAACCCACGCCAACACGGGGAGAACATGCAAACTTCACACAGAAATGCAACTGGCCCAGCCGGGGCTCGACCCAGCGACCTTTTTGCTGTGAGGCGATCGTGGTACTTACTGTGCCACCATGACACCTGCTCCTAACATTCAACTCAAAAAATGTAATTTGTTCTTTGTTCAAATTACTTATGTAACATGAGGTGAAACAACACAATTCTTGAGGTTTTTTTTGAACAATTTAATTGTTCAATCCACTTAAATTTGTTAAAGCTAATAAGTTAACTTAAGTCTTTCATGCTGTCCCAAAACAAATCGATTGTGTGCAACTCAGCATTTTTACAGTGTAGATCAAAACACAAAACAATAACTCAAAATATTGGCAAGATAACAACAAATGCAAATGAAGGTCAGCAAAAGAATATTCTAAAGAACATTCAATCATTCGTTTTCTTTCGGTTTAGTTTCTGATTTATCAGAGGTCGCCATAGCGGTATGAACCATCAACTACAAGCATATGTTTTATGCAGCAGATGCCCTTCCATCAGCAGCAGCCCAGTACTGTGAAACCCCCATGCACTCTCACATTGACACGCACACTCATACAATACGACCAATTTAGTTTATTCAATTCACCTATAGCGCATGTCTTTAAACAGTGTGGGAAACTGGAGCACCCGGAGGCAACCCACATGAACACAGGAAACATGCAAACTCCACACAAAAATGCCAACTGGCCCAGCCAGGACTCAAACCAGCGACCTTCTTGCTGTGAGGCGACAGTGCTTACCACTGAGCCACCGTGTCACCAATCTAAAGAGCGAAATTATGAAAATTAATTGGGGCAACATTTCGAGGAATTCTGTTGGTTTTCGTAGTTTCAAGAAGAGGATTTCTTAGTATTCGAGACTCAAAAGGTTTCATAAAATATGTAGTTACTTTTTTTTAAACTGAAAAGTATCTTAATGACTCCAAACTTCTGAACAAGGCAGTGTGTAAAGTCTATAAATGATAGATGTTTTTTTGCTATTAAAAGCAAACCCAGTTGATTTATGTATAATTCTGTAGAATCAGCTAGTGAAAGTACAGTATAAGAACAAATGGCAAACTGTGCTTTAAATCCAATAAAGGTCCTGAAGAACACAAGTTGACTTTGAAAATACGACTATGAAAATAAGTTCAGCTTAAACATTCAACACTCATGTCAATATGCAACAATAACCGGCTGTTTCCATCTCATGTTGTGAAATTAAATTTTATGAAAAAAGTCAGAAATTTGGCATAATACATGATAAGAATCTTTACTGTTAAGTGAGTTAAAGAAAACTAAACTGTAAATATCACACAGACAAACAGAAGTTGTTTCAATAGGAGAAGCCATGTTACAGCTGATATGTTAGCTTGTGTTTGTAAGTCTAATGTTTGATTACACAGTCTAGTAAGATTCTAGGAGATAATTATATCAAATTATTTTGATGATAGACTTTGACTCACAAAATAACATGAAGTAATTAATCCACTTGTTAAACAATCACATCATCTGTTAAAGCAAAGTCATCTGCTTCGAATGTTATCACTGGATTGAATAGGTGTTATCAGTGGTTATCAGCTGATAGATATGGGTCAGTATAGAGGCCTTCTGCACCTACTGGTAGGCTTAGAATACAATATTCTGGGAAGATAGAAGAACACATTTTCTGTCCCAGCAGACCTGAGATCTTTCTCATCTCATCTTACTCATAAACTCCTGTAAATGGTGGACATCATATATAAACCATATATACAAGCTGCGATGACGGCCCTTTCCGTCCTCTTCCGCCTCAAAATCTATTTAAAGTTGGGAGAACTTTTTTTTCGCAGAGCTAAAAGCACGACAATTTCTTCTATCGTGGCTAGTGTGGGACAGATGCTAAAGCCCGCCCTCCTAAATGTGCGACTTCGTAAATTCTATGGCAAGTGTAAACACATGAATCGGACATTGGTCACAATTAAAAGAACAGGACAGGCAAAAAAATCTGATATAGGCAACAAATCAAAATTGAGCATCAAGACCTGACAGTGTAAATAAGGCCATAGAGAATACTCCAGATCTGTTTTAACATAACTGTGACAGTTGGGTTTAGGGTTAGAGTAGCGATAGACATTAATAAAATACAATTAATCGTAAATGTAATAAATATTACACATAATTCTAGTTAACTTCTGGCCGCAGCCGTATGCAATCTATAGCTGATTAGCTATGTGGAAGGTTGATTACAGCCTTCTCAGCCTACCAGTAGACACAGAGGCCCCTACTGGCCCATATCTATCAACTGATAACCACTAATAACGGCCATTCAATCGAGTGATAACATTGGTATCAGCTAGCAAAGTCATATATTTGTGTTGTGGATTAACAACTTTATTCAATAAATGTATTTTTGTGGTGATTTATAAGCATATAGCGCATACATTTTTATATTTTCAAATGTATGCTCATATTGGCATTTCCATTCAGCATTTATATATCTCAAAATTTGCATACAAATAGGTAAATGTAAACAAACGCAAGAGACACAACTACCTTCAAAATACAAGACAAGATTGAAGTAAAAAAACACACTGAAAAGAATAAACCACACATAAGACGGAAAGGAAGTAGAATAAAGAGATGCGACACAAAAGCACAACGAAATGCAAAATAGATTGAATGTATAATGAGACTTCATCTGCATTTTACATGACTAATAATGATTAGAGGCTAATGTAAACACAACTGGGGTATGGTGAATAATTTTGTCCTGCTATTTTTCAACGAGCATATCTTAGATTTGATTTTAATGTAATTATGCAGATGCAGCCCACATTAAATGTTAATGCGGTGACTCCGCAACGACTTGTTTTTGTGCATCTGCAAAATATTCTCAGATGACTGAACAAATGCATCTTCTATTTTTATGTCTTTGTCAAATGTGCACAGTACAGTATATGAATCAGACGAGTGCTTTGCCAGTGATATGATTTGTGTATGTGTGTGTAGGATTAGTCTGGATGAAGGCCGCCATTGGGACAAACTCAGCTTTTCGTCGACACCCTTATTTGTCGACGGGGTTTTGATGACTCCAGAGACTGAGAATCGCATCATTACGTAAGAATCATCTTCTCTGCCACACTGATCTCAATGGTCCAGAAGGGGTCAGTAATGAACCTTCACCTACTGGGATCATTATTATCAGATTAAGTGTTTGCATTTGCATGTCTGGATGATGATCATTAGCACTGCTGTTTTACTAACACTTCCTTCTTATTAGTTCTTTATGGATTTTATAGAGCTAGAAGTCACTTTGTCAACTGTAAAGAATAAAAGTAAACAGATCCTGTTGTTTTCAAGCATCTCTGTCTGTCCTCGTAGATTCTTCGGGCACTTTAGTTACCACTCCGACTGGCAGCTGATAAAGATTGACTACAGCTCCCTGTTTGGGCGGAAATGCACAGACGGAGACTTTCAGACATGGCACCTCCATAACAAGGTTGTCACCTCACATTTTTCAGTAGCGCCTTACTGTTCGCTCTCAACAGCAATGCACTAATTCACTCACTCAACATTCAACATGAGTTTCTTTTGGCACTGGGTTCGTTAGTAATTAGGGCGGCGAGGGAGATTATTTTCACCTCCGGGGTAACATGCCCAAGCAGAATGGATATTAATGGAGTCGTAATGGATTTTTGCAACAGATCTTAGCGCGTAATATTGGTGACATGTTGTCCATCAGCCTTGAGTCATTCGTGGTTTTAAGAAGTCAGCGTTTATAGCTTGTTTAATCAGTTTCCTGGCAAGCATGATATGCTTTCTATAATTCAGATTAGACAAAAAGATTTGTTTCTTTTATTCTGTGCTTCAGGGTAAAAATAAGGGTGAAATACTGTTAGTTAACAACCTAACATTAAGAAGTACTAAGGAAGTCTCTGGAGCTAAAATTTAGATATTGTTACGAGTGTTTCATTTTAGGCTTGCTTTAACTGGTTGACCAAGTTTAGAAAAGAGCAGATCCTTGAACAAATTGTTTCAGACATTGAGGTGAAAAGAGGTGATGGTGCAGTGTGTATTGTGAGAAGAGTTGTTTGACCTCAGGTGTATGTAGTCCTATTGTAGCAGACCTCCAGAACATAATGAGGAAAAAACACTCCAAAAAAGTAATAAAGGGAACTTTAAGGCACTTTAAAGCTTTACAGTATTAAACATGAAAAAAACAGTCCAATGTATCTTTCAGTTAGAATTACAACTTCAAAGAGCTCCTTCATAGCTAAACCTGCTGTGTTCAAGTTTTTCTTTAAATCTGACCTCGACATACTGACCAGAATAAATGAACTGAAGAAGATTTCCACATGCAGAGCCACACCTACCTACAGTATCACAGGAAAAACTTTATTTTGATGGTCCATTTGAGTATCAGTAGACTGTCTACTTAATATCTGTTGATACTGCTCCTTCAACAGACATTTAACTGACTATTGCAAGTACATATCAACTTACACTAACCCTAACCCCAACCTAACAGTATACTTATAATCTAATGAGAATTGTTTGTAATGTAACTTAAATTCAACAAACGGACCATGAAAATAAAGTGTAACCGTATCACATAATTGGTATAGACCAACGGTAGTCAAAAGGCATTTATTAGCCAGATGAAACGTTTCTGGATAGCTTCAGGATTGTTTCATGAAACGTTTTAAAATGAATTTTAACAATATATTTTATTAAAGCTCCCATTCATATCTTAGTGTGCACCATATAAATAAACCAACGCCTTTAAAAAGTGGGTCTTGGTCTACTTCCAAATGAACTCTGGTTCAATTTGAATGAAAATGAACTCAACGAGGACCAAAAAAAAAAAAAAAAAGAACATTACAAAATGTGGCCATATAAAGGACAAAATGGTAAAGCACATCTGTTTCCTTGTCATTGTCTTGATGCTACCCATTACAGTTCAATACAAGTATTAGAATCACATGTCCTTGCAGCAGATATTCATTTGTGTGTTTGATGGAGAAGTCTCTGACACTGAGTGCCTTTACATGTACAAAATAAGCAGAGAACTATCAAAATTCTGATTGTTTCAGATAGTGTTTTTATGCGTTTACATGCTAATCAGTTAACCAGCCACACACAAAGACACTTTTAGGAGATTTTAGGTTTTGCCAAATTTCGAACCAGTAAAGATGTCATATCCCAAACATCAACGTCAGTAGCTCAAAAATGTCAGCGAGACTTCTGTTAGAAGCGGTTATCATGTTATCACTTATTTACACTACCTGCGAATGCAGCACATTATTATTTTGGGGGAAGGGGATGATTCTGCATCAACAGTGTGAGTCGATGAGACAATTTTGTGCTTTATTAAGATAAGAAAGCATCAAAGTGTATGAAATATTACCACCACCCCTGTCTAGAATTGCCTGCTCAAGCTGGAAACGTGTTTGTAGGAAGGATTAATAAATTGTTAGAACCAAAAAACCATTTGCTCCTATCTTATTTTGTTGAAGAAAGATGTATTTGACATTTAACTGAGAAAAGAAATCTTGGTAATGCGTTTACATGACATTACTCATTTATTTATAAACATGCATGCTTTGTTTTGACTCACATCTTGAATAAGGATAGGAAAACCTTCACATATATTTAGGGATGTAACGATTTAACCAATTTCACTATAAACCGTGCTTTAATTCTTCACGGTTAATTAATCGTAAAGGCTTCTAAACACTGTGTTTCTGCATAAAACAAAACTGCTGCAACTAAACAAAGTTATGCTAGTTTAAAGTTCCGAGCTTGAACCCCGACGCTAATACGCACAAACATTGGATTAAAGGCAGAAGCAACCCACTCGTGAAAAACATTCACTTAGGCCTCGTTTACTCTAATATGTTTTAGTTTTAAAATGGCATTTTAGAATGAAAACGACCCATGTCCACACTGGCATTTCATCTAGCACACAATACCACTGAAAACGCACATCAAGTGACCACACATACTCACAAACACAAACACTCTGTCATGCGCAGCAACATCTGAGCTTTAGCAGTCAGCAGGTCCTTTGAGCACAAAACCTCAGAGAGCATTGCAGGTCGGACAGTTTATCAAGGATGTACAGCTGGATTGCATCTCACTATAGTTGTTAAATGTGATATTTAATTCATCTGCTCTCTATCTAACGACTCTTCGGTCGTCAGGTAACATATCACTCCATTAGAACACTGATTCAATCTTTCGCTTTCATGCATGTACTTTCTAAATTTAGCGAAAGCTTCAGATACTGTTGGTTAGTTCCTGTTGGTTGTGCAACTTTTGACGCAATTATAACAACACAGATTACTCTGCCTGTTCATGTCACAGTCTAAGCAGAAAATGTGATTGACAAGTGGCAATTTGTGTGCAACTTAGCTTTATTTATTTATGATTTGGTTATGGGTAAAACAAAGACCATGCGGGTCAGGTAGTTGAAACGGTAGGCTACAAATAATTAATTCACTACAAATTAATTAATTATTTATAAATAATTAATTCACCGCTGCCAATGATGACGATGCCATCGTCCATCATGATGTTTCACATTAGACTTCGTACGATGCCAAATTGGTCGACATCACCCAACCCTAGCCTTTATCTTAGATTTATATAAGACAAAAATTATTCGTAGTTTTATTTATTTATTTATTCATTCATTGTTTTGTGAATATTTTCATTGTCAAGTGATTACTTGTGTTCAAATGCCAAAAAAATGCTTTAATTATTTTTAAGTCAAAAAAGAGAAATTCACGATTGTTCTTTTTTATTATTATTATTTTGTGCTGCATTAACTGGTCAGTGCGCAGCAATAAATAACACTTTCATGTCATTTTCTAAACTATTTGTTTGAAATTACTGAATGCATAATAATCATGATAACCGGGATTATTCCTCAGACTATAATTGTACAACCAAAATCTATAATCGTTGCATCCCTACATACATTTAAAGTGAGAGTTATTAGCTCCCCTGAATTAAAAGCCCCCATAAACAAAAAGATTTTTTCAACACATTTTTAAGCATAGTAGTTTTAATAACTAAATTTTAATAACTGATTTATTTTATCTTTGCCATGATGACAGTAAATTTTATTTTACTAGTTATAAGTGCAATTTAAAGACTTTATTAGGTTAATTGGGTAAGTTAAGGTTATTAGCCAAATCATTGTATAACAGTGGTCTGTTCTGTAGACAATCGATAAAAAATATTGCTAATAATATTGACCTTAAAGTTTTTTCTAATTAAAAAATAAAAAATATTATAGCAAATACAGTGAAAAATTCCTTGCTCTGTTCAAAGATCATTTGGGAAATATTTGAAAAAGAAATTTAAATTCACAGGAGAGCTAATCATTTTGACTTTATCTGTATTTGCTCCCATTTGCACATATTTACTCAAACTCCAATTAAACTGTTTTTGGCCGTACCTTGCTGAAAATGAGTCCACATATTTCACTTGAGGAACATTGGAGCCTTAAGTAAAAAAAAAATCTAGTTCTAATAAGTTGGGAAATCCTACGACTGTGTCCGTATGTGAGTGTCTGCATATTTTTGCATTTCAGGGTGAGGTGTGTGTGATGGGAGAGAGACAGGTGTATATGAAGAGGAAGCCGGGCACGCGTTGCACTCTGGGTCGGGAGTATTCTCGAGTCGTTTCAGCTGAGCCCTGCATCTGCACCCTCTATGACTTTGAGTGGTGAGTCCCACACATGCGAAAACACACAGCAGCTGCTTTTCCAATGGAGCAAATGAGTGACAGTAACTCTTGCAGATCAAAGGACTCAGTGTTGCATGCAGAGAACAAAAGCTGCAGGGATCCAACCAATTATACAGATTAATTAAGTGGCATCTGAATATGAAAAAAGACAAGTTTTTTCACCTCATCTGTTGCTTTTTTTAATGTCTGCTCAACGCAGCTTATGATTCTGTTGCAGTTGCTACATTAAATTAGCAAGGTAAAAGCCTGGTTTTACATCCGCCAGCTGTAATCATTTCGCCATACTGATGGAGATGTCTTTACAAGCCCACCACGATGCACATGGAGACACACTCCTGCGCTGATCATAACGACGACATAAATCTCCCTTGTACCGCACACAGGCTCCATTAGAGTCGTCTGCTCTTAGGCAAATTACACGTATGAATGAGAGGCGCGCAGAATTAGCATAATGTCAAATGATTAATTATCTCCAAATGAATAAGTAATGAATATTTAAATGGATGATAAATGTGGCAGTGATCTGATTAGCCTGGAGGAGCTGGTGTTACTGAGTTTAGCCCTGATCCCTTACAGTCATTTTTACCTTGGAAATGCACAAACCGATCACAACTCAAGATTACCGGGCTGCTTGAAATGTTTGCTCACCAGGGTTCCATCCAGATGAGTTTAAGTGTTATAGACTTGAAGCTGACTTCTGCCATTAAAACAGCTTTGTTTATCGCTGCAGTACATTTCCCATGCTCTACACTACATTTACTATAATAGCTCCAGTTAATACCAAAACTGTTTAACAGCCCGATTCAGCATGGTTATTTGGAACTATAACCAAGACTATTAAACTGTTGAACTTTTAAACTGTTTTTGTAAATTGAAATATAGCTGAAATAAAATATATTGTAACTGCTTGATAGAAAAATGTCAATGTAAAAAAAACTGATTGATAATAAATGTTGCCTTTGCAATGAATGGGGAAAATGGGGTTTTTAGAGACATTGGGCTTTATCATACACCTGTCACAATAAGGCACATACGTGTATGGCATGATTTGTTGCTATTTTCAGACTAGCGCAACCCTAATTTTCACATTTTGCATCTTGCTGTTTGAATGGCAAATCCATTTGCACCACTTTGTGAACTCAATATTTTTTCAACACATTTCTAAACATAATAGTTTTAATAACTCATCTCTAATAACTGATTTATTTGATCTTTGTCATGATGACAGTAAAAAATATTTTACTAGATATTTTTCAAGACACTTCCATACAGTTTAAAGTGACATAAGGAAATACTCTTTAAAATCAATCATCATTAGATTATTAAAAATAACAACTAAAAATTGGGCTGCACAATTTATCTTTTCAGCAATAGTATCGCAATGGGTGTGTCCACAACAGTCACATGAAAAAATATGCAATTTTGAGGGATTATAGTTGATCAGCACAGCAATTGAGAATACATTAGACATTGCAATGTATAACCATAAGAGAGTGAAACGTTCACAGTTGCATGTGTTTTAAAGGACATTTCAAGAAAGTTAAAAGCACTCGGGCACAATAAAGATGTTGTAACTTTAATGGACAATAATTTTACTAAATTATTAATACAACAAAGACTATACAGTGGTATTTTACATTTCATTATTCAATATCTGTACCTGAATACTGTTTGACTCTCTGGAAAACCAGTACAGCTTATTTCACTATTTCTTTGCTCTGTTGTGATTACTTATGCTTGAAATCTTCAAGCAAGATTTACAGCCCAATTCTCACACAAAATCACCCCAATCAATCTGAATTCAAGACTTTTTTCCCAAATAGAGCTATTCAAGTCAGCTGATTAAATTGTATTCATATCGCAATATATATAGCAAAAAACAAAATATCGCAATGTCAGATTTTTCCAATATCGTGCAGCCCTATCTGAAAATACAGAGATTGAAAATACATATTTAATATCCTAAAATGCATTGAGAAAAGTATTGAAGACGCTCTTTTTAAAGATGCTTTCTATATAGTATATATGCAAGTCACTTCTCTCTACAGCCTGCTGAGGCATCCTAGAGAAAACCTTAACCAAACTGAATAATTGATGTGTTTTCTTGATTTCCTTCCAGTGATTATGGGTTTGAGAGACAGACCAGTGGAAAATGTGCACCTGCATTTTGGTATGATGTCAATTTACCGGCACACACCTGCAGTTATGGACAGCGCTACCGCAACAGTACAGGGTAACACACACACACACACACACACTGCAGTACGATTCATATATGCAATAGAAGACTTATTGAGATGAAAATATCTAGCTTGTACAAGAGCGTTTGAGTAAGCATCTTTTGTATATGAAGTGCATGTCCCTTTTTGTCTTACATAGAGTGTTTTCTAAAGCATCCGTATCTGTTTGTGCAGGTACAGGAGAGTGATGTTGAATAACTGTAGAGAGGGTCTGAAGGATACACTGAGTCCCAGAATGCAACAGTGTAAACCCATAGCACCCAGTGGCCTTCAACTGAGCACTATTAACACACAACTCACTGCTGTACTGGGAACCAACATCACCTTCAGAGTCGCATTGCAAAATGTGAGTTAGCAAAACACCAACTTGACCAAATTTCAATGGTGTAAATGCTGATCAATGTTTGAGGCCAGGACACACCAAGCTGACTGTTGGCTGTTGAGTAGCATCAAAGCCATTGGTTAGCATCTATCAAGCTAGTTTGTTTGGTGGGTTTTACACTTCCTCTTGTCAGGCTCACATCATAGGGAGTTTGCCAGATTCAGCATGTAGAATCGATGTCGGCATCCAAAAAATTGAGCGATGTGATTGGCTGATTAGCTATGAATTTAAAGCGATAGAACAAACACTAAAGTGACGAAACCAAGCAAATGATACAAGTCATGAGGAAACACAATGAACCCAGCTGTTCTTTATTTTGTTTTGTTTTTTTAAATATTTTCAAACAATATGGACTGTCAGGTTATCAGACAAATTTGCAAGATCGAATCTCTCTCTGGTGAGCGAGAAGCAGTGTGAATTAATTAATAAAGCATTTATTAATATTCAAAGTAACTATTACTACAGTATATGCCTGAATAAGAGGATATATATAACTTTTAATTTTAATAGTTTATTATTCATTGAGGGCAACACAGTGGCGCAGTGGGTGGCATGTTTGCCTCACAGCAAGAAGGTCGCTGGGTCGATCCTCGGCTCAGTTGGCGTTTCTGTGTGGAGTTTGCATGATCTCCCTGCGTTTGCGTGGGTTTCCTCCGGGTGCTCCGGTTTCCCCCACAGTCCAAAGACATGCGGTACAGGTGAATTGGGTAGGCTAAATTGTCCGTTGTGTGTGTGTGTGTATGGATGTTTCTTAGAGATGGGTTGCAGCTGGAAGGGCATCCGCTGCGTAAAAACTTGCTGGATAAGTTGGTGCTTCATTCCGCTGTGGCGACCCCGGATTAATAAAGGGACTAATCAAACAAGAAAATGAATGAATGAATTATTCATTGACTAACGAATTCTGACTGATCAGTAAAAATACCAACACACTTCTTCAATAACTGCTTTGTAAATAATGTGATACTTAATTGAAAAATGAATCATTAAAGTATGAAAACACAATCAATAAGAACATTACACATGCACTTATAAGTCAAGAATACAGCATTTGTAGTTATACTCATAAACTGCTTACTAACATCTATTAATGTAGAAATAATGCTTAGCAAATGATGAATGAACTATTTACTAATGCTTAATAAATGATTCATAGTGTGTAACTAGAAAGTGTTCTCAAAAAATCTTACTGATCCCAAACCTTTAACTGATTGTTGTTTTAATATAAATGACTATATTAAAATATTCATAATTAGTATTATAATAATACAATTAATTTAGAGTTCGTACCTCTGATCATTTTATCATTCTTATTTTCTTTTTAATCAGATTCCCATCTCCAGTCAGCCACAGTTTGAACTGCTGTAAATCACCCTTCAGTTTCCCAAAGCCTTTACATGCAAAACCATACAATACATCAGTCCTTTATCTCTCTCTGTTATTGTTTTCTCTGCAGGGTGACTCACTGTCGACCAGTCTCCATGTGGACTTTGGAGATGGCATCTCGGTGTCATACTCCAACATAAGCCGCCTTGGTGACAGCATCACACACACATACAGGGTCGCTGGGATATTCAGGGTCAGCGCACGTGCTCAGAACAGCCAGGGCTCTGACAGCAGCTCGCTCTATCTGCACATCACCAGTACGTACATAAGCACACACTTATTCCAATTCTCCATAAGAATCCACCATACAAAAAGCTCTTTCCTGTCACAGCAAATTACCTCTATACAACTGACTGCACATCGAGACAATCTATTTCTGAAGCAGCTCTCAATAAACAACATAGGAAAAGAAATCGCTGCTCAATGTGATCGTTATTGACTTCATATTGCGTCTGATAAGATCTCACGTCCGATGTGTTGTTGTTAGGTCCTGTGGAGCGTATCTTTCTTTCGGCACCGGTGGTCGTGGCCAGAGGAAGAGAAGCCAACCTGACAGCAGTGTTGTGGCCCAGTCAGCCCAGGACGGCCACCTTCTACTGGTGGTTCAATAACAACACTGAGGTTCGAACATTTATACGCATGCGGCCCAGAGGCCCACATCAGTTAGCCAGCTATTCCAGTATTACTTCTGACCTGCAACAAAACAAGGGCTCGGCCAAAGATATTGTGCTTGCCAAGGCCAGAAAGGTAAACCTGTTATTAGGATGGATTGGAATTGGGGTCAAGTAAGTAAAAAGCTCGATGTTTGGGCCGGGGCGATACTGTGACACTGTGGGTTTTTTTCGCTTTGCAGTATGAAACTTGCTGCCAAAATAAAAAGAATAACTGAATTTCAACTCTGTCAGAATAGCTTTTGTTGAATGACAGGCATAGCTGGGAAAATGCATTGGGGAAAGTGCTTCCAGCTCAGAGATCTGGAATAGATTAAAAGCCCACATAGAATTTTAATTGTAGATTGCTTGTCAAAAGGCAAGATTTGATTGGGCATTTAGCCTACTTTTCACAAGTTTGGTCACACTGTTTTTTTAAATGACTTTTATTATGGCTGCTTAGCATAATTAAGTAATGAAAATTGATATTTTTATCAATTTCTCCATGAAAATAGGCAATGTATTTTGGTGCATTTAAACAAAACAGATTTATTAAGCAGATATATTTATTAAAATAATATTTTAGTCACCAAACATACTTAGAAATTGGAAGATAATACACTTAAATTCTAGCAAAATATTGCAAAACATAATTACAACCTACAAAATTTCAACTAAATTATTCAGTTTTTCTGCTTCTCTTGATTTTTCCTCTTTTTAAAATTTGTATTTAATTTTTTTCTATAACATATAGGTTTGTGTGTACTCCTTTTTAGACCGTTATCGTAAGTTAATTTGTTACATAAGCTCCAGTTTTGGCTTAAGTACTGACTAATCTAATGTATATGCACAAAACCTTGGTAGTGGCTAAATGGGGATCCTGATAAATAAATAAATAAATAAATAAATAATAAAAAATATTTTAAAAAATAAATAAAGATGATATTGAATAACTTCCTATTAAAAACTAAGCACTGTATGTCATTACAGTGACGATACTGAAATGTGTGCATTTGCAATAGTCACATCGCAGCATCTGCGTTGGGATGATTTTAGTTGATCAGCAATAAAGAATGTACAGTGTTATTTTACATTACATTTGATTATTTAATAACAGGGCCAGGACAAAATATTGATTCTGATTTATTGTGATAATTCCACTTGGGATACATTATTGATGTAGCCAAGTATCAATATTTATTTAAAAGTACAAAAAAATCTGAACTAATTCATCAGCCTTGCACTGCTACTGTATCATTTAACATTAACAACAATACATGGGGGCGCTTCTCGCAGTGTGGGATTGAACACATATCAATGTTGCAATTCTACAAAATATATGTGCTGTTAATAAAATATATCTTTTTGATGCGTTTTCCCCCTTCATTTAAAAACATCATGATATATTGTGGATGGTTTTCTTGTGATATATCGCTGATATTAAGACTACATGATTGGGGGCAAAATATAATGGTAATATCATATCGTATTGTATCATATTGTATCGTATACTGTACCTAAATATCTGATTACTTAATTTACTTTTATCTTTGCTCTTATCTTATTTATTTACACTTAGAATTTATTTTATTAACTCCTTTACACGATTATTCCAATTAAAGTTAATGATTTCATTCCAAATTAAGCAAAATTGTATTCATATCGCAATATATAATCGCAGAAAAATAAAATGTCGCAATGTCATATTTTTCCAGTATCATGCAGCTCTAGCTTTTATAATATTATAACAGGGTATCTACAGAAACTTAAAAAGTCTGAAAATGTCTTAAGTTTTAAAAAACAAATTTTAGGCCTTAAAAAGTCTCAAATCCATGGACATATTGTCTTGTAGGTCTTAAATCATTTTAAACGAGTCCATGTAAAGCTATACTTAATTGAGCCAACACTCGTCCAATGACTAACACTATATTTCAATATAAGTTAAGAAACATTTATTTATTAACTCTGTTGACTTTTTAATATGGTTTAATTACCTTCCTTACAACAACATTTGTTTTTAATGTTTAAGGTTTTAACTTGGCCATTAAATCTTTAGGGTTTAGCCTTGTGTAAGTCTGAAATTTCATGAAACCTGTAGAAACCCTGTATAAAAAAAAGTAAGATTTCTGTCTCAAAAGATCTAAACAACTGTTATTTTTAACTTAACTTAAAAATATTTTTGCAGTTTCCACACTGTAAAATGAACAAGCATTTTCAACTGTAAAAATAAAAAGAATAACTGATTTTTAACTCTGTCAGAATAGCTTTTGTTGAATGAAAGGCGTAGTTGGAAAAATGCATTGGGCAAAGTGCTTCCAGCTCAGAGATTGGCTTAGATTAAACGCCCATATAGAATTTTAATTGTAGATTGCTTGTCAAAAGGTACAATTAGAATGGGCTTTTAGCCTACTTTTTCACACTGATTTTTTTAAATGACTTTTGTAATGTTATAAATAGGGCTGCACGATTAATCGAAAAAAGATTGTGTTCTCAATTCGACCCCATAGATGATCTTAATCTAGCATTTCTACGAATTAGCCTATCATATTTTCAAGTTCAAGATGGAAGCATAAAAGCAGTCGCCCAAGTATCGACAGGAAAAACTTAAAGTCCATTCAAGTCCACCGTTCAAACCGTTTGCATGATAACTAACTGTAGAGCTACACACAGGTCTAATATTATTATTGTTTATCTACCATGTTTGAGTAAATAACAATAATAATAGCCTACTCATATTAACCTTTATTTTATATCTACAAAATCGTGAGAAAATCGTGATCTTTATCTTAAGCAAAAAAAAAAGAAAAAATCGCGATTCTCATTTTAGCCAGAATCGTGCAGTAAGAAGTAAGAAATGTAAGATTTCAGTCTCAAAAGATCTAAATCAGTGTTTCTCAACCATGTTCCTGGATGACCACCAACACCGCATGTTTTGGATGCTTCCTTTGTCTTTTACACCCATTACAGGTCTTTCAGTCTCTGCTAATGAGCTGATGATCTGAATCATTTTTTCAGTTTCCACACTGAATTAAGATGAATAAGCATTTTCAACTGTAAAAATAACACAAGCGGCAAATTAAGTGGAGTAGAGACTGCTGAAAATTAAGTTTTCCATCATATTAATTAATTACACTTTTAATCATATTAAAATAGAGAATGTTTTTTAAAGGATAATATTCTTTCACAACACTACTGTCTTTTTGATCAAATAACTGTGACCATGGTTAGCATAAAACTGTTCTCAGAAAATTAAGCAGTTGCTGTAGGTTCATTTAATTAAAGATCATTTTGCTGACACTTTGTTTTTCATTTTGACATCATTATATTGGCTTCTTATCTCATTTGGTATTAGGACAGATTTAACCTACAGTTATAATAGGCAGATGAATCACTGTTTTATGATGCTTTCAAACATCACTGAATGTTGTTCCTAATCGCACCATGAGATCATTCAGTTCAGATCTGCTTTTCTGAGGTGAAACACATAAAAAGAGAAAGAGCAGCTTTTAATGATTATGCATTTAAGTTCTAGAGTGCTTTCCTCTGGAAACCTGCCACAGAGCTGAGCAGTTTAAAAGCATTTAAAAGCTCACTTGTACAGAAGCTTTGTTTTGTCATTTAGTATAATTTGGACATTTCGAAATATATGCCTATATGCTCCGATATGCACTCACCGGCCACTTTATTAGGTACATCTGTCCAACTACTCGTTAACGCAAATTTCTAATCAGCCAATCATATGGCAGCATGTAGACATGGTCAAGTCGATCTGCTGCAGTTCAAACTGAGCATCAGAATGGGGAACAGAGGTAATTTAAGTGAATCTGAACTTGGCATGGTTGTTGGTGCCAGACAGGCTGGTCTGAGTATTTGAGAAACTCCTTGGATTTTCACGGAGAACCATCTTTAGGGTTTACAGAGGATGTTCAGAAAAAGAGAAAATAACCAGTGAGCGGCAGCTCTGTGGGCGCAAATGCCTTGTTGATGCTAGAGGTCAGAGGAGAATGGCCAAACTGGTTCTAGCTGATAGAAAGGCAACAGTTACTCAAATACTATCGTTACTATCTCTGAATGCACAACACGTCCATCTTTGAGGCAGATGGGCCACAGCAGCAGAAGACCACACTGGGTGCCACTCCTGTCAGACAATAACAGGAAACTGAGGCTACAATTCACACAGGCACCAAAATGGGTCTGATGAGTCTCCATTTCTGCTAAGATGGTAGGGTCAGAATTTGGCATCAACAATATAAAAGCATGGATCCATCCTGCCTCATATCAATGGTTCAGGCTGCTGGTGGTGTTGTAATGGTGTGTGGGATTAGTACCAATGGTGTGCCCATTAATACTAACTGAGCATCGTGTCAACGCCACAGCCTACCTGAGTATTGTTGCTGACCATGTCCATCCCTTTATGACCACAGAGTACCCATCTTCTGATCCAGCAGAATAACGCGCCATCTTATAAAGAGTGAATCATCTCAGACTGGTTTCTTGAACATGACAATGAGTTCACTGTACTCAAATGGCGGGAGGTTCACATCATATATATGCAGCGGACAAATCTGCTGCAACTGCGTGATTGTAACTGGGAGACTGACACGGAGGGATCCATTATGCAGTATTTATTAGTCACACTTTCACTCAAACAATCCACACGCACCAAGGTGCGAACACACAACAACAATAGTAATAAAGGTCTTAAGGCTGGTGGCTGACAGACACAGAGTGATTTACCAGGCATGGATCAGAGGCAGGCGGCGTGATTCAGAGTCCGTGTATCAGGCTTGGGTCAAGGGCAGGCAGCGAGTATCAGAGTCTGTGTAACAGGCTTGGGTCGATGGCAGGCAGAAGGCAAAGCAGAGTCAGAAACGGGCTGGAGTAATACACAGGAGATCAGGCAGGATATAACGCTCAGTAATGATGGCCGGGGCTGAACAAGAATTCGCAAAGACTGAGTGTTTAAGTGCGTTTTATAAAGGGTACGTGGGTCATTAACGGGATTCAGTTCAGGTGTGCTAGATCAGTGTAAGTGGATGATGTAATGCTTAGAAGTCCGGAGATGGTGGCCTCTGCTGGCCAGCGAGGGGAGTGACTGGGACCGAGTCGGTGACAGTGATGCTATCATGTCAATATGAAGCAAAATCTCTGACGAATATTTCCAGTACCTTTTTTAGTCTATGCCACCAATGATTAAGGCCAACCCGGTAGTAGTAAGGTGTACCAAATAAAGTGGCAGGTGAATGTATAATACAGGCATTCAGGCTATTGGGAACATGCGAATATTATACAGTCCTCTTGAAAAGCAATGATTTCCCAGTGCTGGGTTGCGACCAGCAGGGCATCCACCGCATAAAACTTATACCAGAGTAACTGGCGGTTTATTCCCCTGTCGGACTAAGCTGAAGGATAGTGAGTGAGTGAGTGAGTGAGTGAGTGAGTGAGTGAGTGAGTGAGTGAGTGAGTGAGTGAAAAACAAAAAGAAAATTGCAGTTTTGTATTTTTATGTGGTTGCTTTTAATGTTTAATAAAGTAATAATCTACAGCAAAGAGTGCAGCCAGGCAAAACCCAGACCCTCCGGTGTGTTAGCAATATTAGAAAATCTGCTTGTAAATAATTTAGGTGAAGTAAATGCATCAACTTAACCCATTATACACTGAAAGTACCTTTTCCTATTCACTATTGCCATTACACAGGAAAACAAGACAGCATTAAAGAGCAACTGTGTTGTTTTGAATGAATACGAATGTTAAAATGCCATTCATAAATGCCAGTCTATTTGAGTGCTCCCGCCCAACATCATGTGCTGCAACCAGACAAAAAGACCCCAAAAATGAGATCAGCAAAGCCCATAAATTACACAGAGAGTGGCTTGTTAAGGAATACTAGTGAAAAAGCAGGAAGATCTGCAAGACCAATATATCTACGACAAGTCCTAAGATCAAAAGCACGACAACTGAACCGTGAAACGCAGCGGGAGTTTGGCCATATAGGGCTGTAAATGGTTTCTGCTATAAATGATTCTGCCACTCACATATCAGTCAGAGTTAGGATTTGCTTTCCCGTTTCTCCGTGCTGCTACATCTGAATTGCATGTGTTTTTCAGCCCCTGATCACACTGGAAGGAAGCGTTTCACACACGTTCACGCGAGAGGGACTGAACCCTGTCACAGTACAGGTGTCGGCGGGAGGTACAGTCCTACAGGATGTGAAAATCATCACCGTCAAAGGTGAAGACCTCCCGTAGACATGAAAATTGCTGTGCTTTTTGATATAGAGAATGTGATATTTTTAGCTTCGCTGAAAATTAAGACGTTTCTCTGTCTTCTCTGGTTTCCAGATGTCTTTCGTTCTTTGCTTCTGTCGTTTTCTCCAAACCTGGAAGAGCACAACCCGTCTGTTGCCGAGTGGAGACAGGACGTGGGGCGTGTTGTCAGGGCAACGCTCGCTCAGGTACACCGCGCTTAAAGTCCATCATCAGCTACCGCTGGAGTGCTCTGTTCATGCCGGTGAACTGCTGAAAAGAACTCCTGAAATTTCTTGAAAGGCCGCTGATAGCTCACCACGCTTCCTCTCTCTTCAGCTATTCTCTTTCCTCTCTCTCAAACGCTGCTGGTTTAAAGCCTGATGGCTCTTTCTGGGCTCTCCGGCGAGGTTCTGTGTTCGGCTGAGAGGCTCTACGCGCTCTCACGCATCCATCTGATTTCCCCTCAGTCTGAGCGCGAGAGATAGGGTAATGTAGTGCTATTGGCGAGAGTGAATCACTGGAGTTCAGAGTGAATATTGATGCGGCAACAGAGAGACTCTAAAGCCAGTCAGCCAATTAAAGAACAGAGCCAAAGAACTGCTCCACAGAACTCCATTACAATGAGTCGCTCAAGCACAAATATAATGGCCTCCCAATACCTCTGGATTTTCGATGTGAACTGAGTGCTTTCAATGCGCTTACGCAACATCATATCGAAAATATCTCCAGATTCTCCGGAATGGCTTATTATGCTTCGCAAACATTAATGGAGATTTTTATTAATGTGCAAACGGCTGTGAAATGATTGACTAGCGTTTATGCATGAATACAGTCTGTCATGAATGTTGCATGCTGATAAAATTGCCTTAATTTAATGTTTAGTGGCGTGTGTTTATTTGTGTGCTTTTCGGCAGGTCTGCAGCTTCCCTGAGGACCAGTTGTTGGTGTCTGTGTTTCCTGGATCTCCAACAGCTGCTGAGCTCTTTATCCTACCCGAGACCAACCAGTCAGCATTCAGATCACACACAGAGGAACAACTTAATAAGGCAAGAACCATACACGCACATAAACACACACACACACACACACACACACACACACACACACACAATGGAATAAAGTGATTCTCCCAAATGACAAGGTCTTATGATTGATACAATCTGTTAAAATAACCGATTATTATGTTCTGATGGCTAAATAAATTATAGCGGCGATAAAAGTTGGCTTTATTGCTAGTGAATAAACCTGCTGAAAAATACATGCACTTACTTTTAAAATGTCATGGGCTGAATTTGTAATGCCCGGCAACCACAAAAGGAAATTAAATCTGTCAAATTTATTAATGACAATAATTCAGATTTATGTTAAAACCAGCAGTATTTTTTTGACTGCATTCTCTATTTATATAGGGTGATGATCTAGAGTTTTCCAAAAATGGAAAATTTTATTAAGATGATTTTAAATGGCTTACGCAAGATTTATGTTCAAAATCACTATTCAAATAAAGCCTTTTTGCAGACCATTTTTTTAAAGTTCATCAAAAAATCTGAGAAAGAAAAAAAAATAATAACAATAAAAGCTTTTTAGTAGGGCTGCATGATATTGCAAAAATCATCATATGTCATCGTGATCTCTTCATATCAGATCAGACGATCGCGACTGCTGCAGTTACTTCAGTTGTGTTATTTTTTGGTATTTGTCTTTATATCATGTTATCATAATGATCTAATGTGCCAATAAGATCATAACTGTACTGTGCATTTACACAGTGGCCATATTCATCTATGTAAACACACAAAAAACAACATTAACATTATAGCAGACACTGTAAAAAGCTCATTCCCAGCCACTAGACTTTTCTGACATGGTATTCGAGTGTCATCGAGTGTCAGAATGTTTTGGGACTGCTATACAGGAGTTATGATTATGGATTATAAATTGCGAAATTTTGCGGTTTTTATTTTAGTGTTTTTTTTTTAAAGCATGACGGTAAAACAGAAACGCCGTGATGAATATATTAAAACATGTGCTTGTTTGTTGTAAAAATTTCGTAATAATGACAAAAAAACTAATTTCTGGATCTCCTTACCCGGACGTGCTGCGATCCTGCTGTTGTGAATGGTGTATTCTGGCAAATTTTCTTACCCCTTGGTTTTAAGTGAGGTCCTTAAAAAATCTTAGTTCGAATGGGTAAATAGCAATTCCCCTTAGCCCTACGCTTTCAAGCTAAACAGAATCAAGGTAAAGGGAAGGGCTAAGGGGAAGAATTGCGGTTGGGCCTAACTGTATTCATGTACAGCAATTGAATAAAAAGTAATTAAATAAAATTCACCTTTATTAAATTTACAAACAGAACAATTTTTTATTCCTTAAAATATGCTTTTAAAATCATGTAACATCCATAACGAAGCCTTTTCCTCATAAATACAAAAATATTAAATAAAATAAAATCAATAATTTTTGTTTTATAGAAAGCCAACTCTTTTCCTTATGATTATCTTTTTGTTTCTTTTGGGTTGTGCAGTTTAATTCACAGAAATTCTACAAAGCATGTTGTACACTGCAGACTCGCAGACTTTTTTCATGACATCCATAACGCATGTTCATTTTTCTCATTTAAATTATAAAAAATGCTTACAGTTTGATATTTTTTTGATCCCATACAGTAACTCTGTGGTCAGTTGTTTCAGAAAATATAAACAAATGTTTCAATGTAAAGTTAAGATAAACTTTCTCTGTGAATTTATGTTTTAAGATTTTACTCCAAATGTCACATCCATACCGCTGGAATTGCTCATTCACATTAATTTTTTAGGTTAGAACTAGGTTAGATTTATCATAATATTATTGCCAGAAGACGAGTTAATTTAATTAAGCTTATTTATTTATTAATTTAATGATTCGTTTACTCATTGAGTAAACTCATTGTTTTTATCTGAGCATTTGTTTTTTTACTAGCTTTTATTTTTATGTGAAATGATGTGCATAAAATCTGATTTTTTAATTGAAGTTTTAATCCTTGAAGGCAAGCCTGTAGATTTCACACACTTTGCAAACTTTGCACGAGAGTCATGGCAGTTAAGGAGCCTCTAACCACAGTCAATTATTCACAACAAAATCTGACAAAAAAATGATGGTGCTTTTGCAGTCTGTCGCCGCATTACCTCCACATATTGAATGAAAAGAGCTGAATCTACGTTTAAGGCATATATATCACCTTGATATTATAAAATGCATTAGCTATTGCCATTATTTCTGACACAAGCATTTTAAGAACGAAACTTGAATACTGCAAGTGAAATAACTGACTGTCAGAGATGGGGCATTATTTTAAATGATCCAACTCCCCAAATTCAGTTGAACCTTTAGAAATATAGCAGGTTTCCCTTGCTCTTCATCATCATCTTCCTCTTGTTTCAGATGTCGGAGGTCTTCATGAACGCTTTAAATCAGAACCTGATCCAGTTTGATCTGAAGCCTGACACGCGGGTCACTGTGTCTTTGTCTCAGCTCACATTGGGTAAGACCCGAACACTAGTTTCTGTTATTAAGGCTTTAACAGGACAATTCTTGTTCTCTGATGACCCTTCCCGAAGACCACAAATGTCTATCGCATTGAGTTCTGGTTTAATTGCACCCTCACTGTAGTAAAATACAGGGCTGTCAAGTGATTATGTGAGGTGACTTTACTCCTGTGTAGTTATATAAGATACACGACCTAATCACATTGGTGACGATTCGTTGTGGCAAATCTTTCAACCCTCTCTTGGTGCTAAAAATCATAGAGAACAGGTACTCCACCTTGGACTTTAGATTAATATTGATAATGCGGAGCCTGTCTGAGCATGACCAATATAGTGAGTTGGAAATGACATTACGGGATCATAAAGAGTGTCTCTCTGCCACATATAATTCTACCCTTTTCAGACACGGCCATTTGTCTTCATTGCTCCGAACAGGAAAAGGTTCAGATTGCCTCCTGCATTCTGCCGAAAGGTCACAATCATCATGCGTCAACCCTCAAAGGGCTGAAGGATGAACTGCAGTGTGTTTGTGTGTGTCTGTGTGTGTGTTTGAGAGAGAGAGAGAGAGGAGCAACTGAGACAGTTTTTTTGTATTACTAAAATGGATATGCTTTTCATACTACCATACATGCTCTGAAAAACAGCACAGTGTGTGTGTGTGTGTGTGTGTGTGTGTGTGTGTGTGTGTGTGTATGTGTGTGTGTGTGTGTGTGTGTGTGTGTGTGTGTGTGTGTGTGTGTGTGTGTGTGTGTGTGTGTGTGTGTGTTTGTGTGTGTTTCAGTTGATATACCAAACTATATACATAGTCTTCCTTTATTTCTACTTAACCAAAGATTTTCAGCAAAAATAGTTTAAATCATTGGTTAATTTGAGCTAGATCTTTCCAGATCATGTTCCGAAAAATGTCTGATATTCCTGTTTGCGTTTGAACACCGAAAATAAATAATGGCATAGTGGCCAACCTAAATAATATTTGTATTTCAAAATGGCAAAGAGGCAGTCAAGCATATTTTCATTTTTTTTAAACCATGAGTAAATATGATATGACCTGCTCAAATGAGATCTTGAGAAGATGAAATTGTGCGAATGGATCAGGGTAGCAGGAGACAGAAGCAAAGCGATCTCAAGTTAATCAGAAAACATGACAGAAGAGCTAACTGTGGGCTCTTCTTGAAAATTAGACTGAGTGAGTCTTTTAATTGTTATTTCACTTGGCACATAACACTGAAATCAACTGAAAAGTCAATGTTTATACGATTTATGTTTGTAGCTACATGTCTTTATTATTTATGACTGGCCTACATTGTTGTATATGGCACAAAATAATTAAAGACCGTTCAGAAATGTGAAGCTCTTTTTTAATGACATCATGTTCCGGGAAAAATGAAATTCGGTCATGGTAACTTAAATTTTCTGGTTTTGTTCTGTGAATTATTCATTTACAAATTAAGCACTGTTTAAAAACAATTGTTTAATTGACATTTTGAGGGAGTAAAATTATTTTACTAAAGATATTTACCTTAACTACTTGCTAAATACTAGCTATACTACTTATTAAAACTATTTTTCAATGCATTTCAAGTCTTTGAAGATTTGTTTGTGCTATGTAGCTGTTGAATTAATCTACTCGGTAAGTTATTTAATAATAAGTTGTTATTTATTATACTGAAAAACCACACTAACATTTTTTTGTAAAATATTGTTCGGTTGTGAAATTTTCAATTTTAAATATTAGATTTTAGTCTTACTTTAGGTCTCATTTTACTTTGTGGTAGTTAAAAAAAGTGCACGCAATGTGGTCATTTAGGAAATTACAGTACATTAAAAGTTTTAAAGTTATAGACTAAACATATTTAAGGAAAGTTTTGATTATGATGACGAATACTTAAAAACAGTTTATTTAAAAATGGTTAAAATCAATGACATGCAAACTCCACACAAAAACGCAAACTGAATCAGCCGAGGCTCGAACCAGCGACCTTCTTGCTGTGAGGCGACAGCACTACCTACTGCACCACTGTGTCACCACATCATTGACTTAAATACATATAGTAGTTTTATAAGGTGTATGCATGAATGTACAATTTATTACATTGATTAATGAAATGACCAATATATATTATATAATGTTTGTATTTATAAACATTTTATATAATGCATATAAGGTAAATAATGTATGATACATTCAAAATGCACACATTACATTATATATATGCATATATATAGTCTATCAGGACATGTGATGAGACATTGAGTTTAACTGGTTCTGCATATGTATCATTGCCTGCAGCACCTCTGGTGGACTCCAGTGTTTTGCCCAGTGGCTCTGCCATGCTCTTACTGGTTTCTCTGGGCCTGCTGGGATTGGCCATTCTCTTCATCTACAAGTTCAAACGGTAAACCTCAACAAATCCCACCTAATTATGCACAGTCATTTTGATATGGCAGCCGATCTTGACAAATGCTGCACACGCTTACTCTTACTGACATCGGTTTCCTCGTGATAGTCTACTTGGACTAGAATGAATAAATGCATCAGTTTTTTCTCCTCAAGCCTAGTTTTGCTTCTGTCTGCTCAGTAAGATTCCTTGGATCCACGTTGAGACAGAAGACAGCCATGAGAAAGAGCCTGAGATGATCAGCGCTGTCGGACAGGAGAAGAACGGCACACGTACAACAGCCACTTCCTTCACGTCTTGCAGTGCACACAACACACACACACCGTGTCCATTAAACACAGGAACACACAACAGCTTCAGCCATCTGCCACCACCAAGAGAACTGATGGAGAAAGAGCTGGAGGCTCACAGCACAGGTCAGACCCCTGGTCACACCATACACTCTCTAAATATTTGTTGAGTCTTTGATAAATCTGATTAACAACTTACTGTAGTTCCAATAAATACTGTTTTAGAAGTGCTTTAGTATAATTAAGTGAACTTACACAAAGTTTAAATGTTTAAAGCTCAAAGGGTGATATTTGACACTGGATAAATAAAAAAATATGTGCTTCAGCCTACATTTTTGCAAAATCACAATATAATACCCTTGAACATAAATATCATACCCTTTATCATCCTTAAAGATATATTTGACTGCACTTTCTTAACAAAATAAACGCTATGATATTTACAGGGACATCTAGCCAAATAAAGGATTAATTTCAAGCAGTACTTTGCACAACACCAAATAAACACAAAATGTCCAATACATTTAACTCGCCCATATATCTCCATATGTACAACTCTTGTTTGGGCTCGGGTTTGCGTCCAGTCAATCAAATTTCCACAAAAGAGGACAAGGCAATATAAAATCAAGGTGAAACTATATGCAAATGCTCTACATGCACTTTTCTCTTCTGTTTGCTTTTGAAAACACTATTGGTTGGATTTAGGGAAAGGTTTAGGTCAGTGGTTCGCTAGATGATCTGTACGACAAGCCCAGCCTTGTGGACATGTACAAAAAGTACGAAATGCACCCTAAAGCCTCCTTTCCACTGCATGTGACAAACGACAAGCGTCAAACCAGAAGTCATTAATTTCCAATGGAGAGTAGTACGGTAGCTGCGTGGAGTACTGATCACGTCTGTATCCGGAAAATTTGAATCGGAACTGAACTGCGGATATTTTGAATTATTTGAACTACTTCAAATAGACCGTATGCGACAGTATGCCTGTCCAAGCAGGTCTGTGCGCACAAGATGAGAAATATTTTTGTTATTTCTTTTGTTTATCAAAAAAAAGTCTATATTGAAAAAAAAAACATTTCTATTTATAAACGAGTAATAATAAATATTATTTTTTTATGTTGTCTCCACATTCCCTCCAAAATTTGTTGAGGTCTATGAGTTTCTAGTATTCATTCATTCTACCATGGTGAATGCACAGAGAATTAAGGCTCTATCTTTTGCACTCCTTTATTTCAAGCAGCTTCTCTCCCATGGTGCACGACAATACTGAAAATTCTATGCGACTGCCACAAAAGGGCGTATTCAGTCAATCATGTCTAAATGTCATGTGCAGTGAAAAGTAGCTTAAGAATCAGGTTTAAAAAAAATTCATGTAAACAGCGCCATCTAGTGGATTTGTAATCTGAAATGTGCAACAAAACATAACTGGAGTATTTTACCTTTCGTTAAAAGGTACATATTTCCAATATGTAATATGGGACATATTAATGTCCCTAGGTTGAACAACTTCTATTCCAGAATTTGCTCTTTATAGCCTACAAAATACGGCTAGTATGGACTACAATGAAGATTACTTCTTTCTGAATTTGAGACATCACAAAACCAAGCATTTACATAACCCCAGATGCCCGGGTGTAACATTTCCTTTCAAAGGGCACTAGACATTTAGCAGATCAAAACACAATTTAATACTACTTCAATCTTCTTACTACTGTGTTTAATTCAGTATTAATTCTGTGTTTTGCTGGCCAATTCTTTTTAATTAATCTTGATATTTACAATACAATACAATATTTGTGTAAAAATTAGTTCTTTAAGTGTATTGTCAATCAACGTCATCCCTTTAAATACAATTAAGTGACTTTTTATCATTTCACATCAATAATGTGTTACATAAAAGTACATATTTAAAAATATATATTTTTAGAAGTGAAAGTAAAGTACAAATGTTCATTTCATACAATTAAGTGTTCTTTCTTTTCTGTCAGTTCTTTTCTGTCGGCTTTATGTTTATAAAGATGCAATTTGTGCTCAAGGAGCAGAACGAGAGACGTGCTTGTTTTAGTGTGTATCTGTTGTTGTTCCTATACGTGAGGTCAGTGGATGGACCCCAATTCATTCATTCTACTTTTATTACTCCGCTGTCAGAGAAGGTGATTGTCTTCTGAGTGTCCCAGGACTTTTTGATTCACAGTAATCAAGGACTGATCCCATGACACTGAAGTGGAAAGCATTGATCACAGACTTGCCCTTGCTTGTTGGTTGCAATTACAGTGATTTTCTGCTTTTCTGTGTTTCTCTGTGTGTTTGTGTGTGTGTGGGGGGGTGGTGTGTCGGTGTGTGTTTTAGGCGGCCTTGGGGCTGGAGAACGCTTAAGGACCAGACAAATTCCAAACTGCACCAATGTCTGAAATGATGAAGGTTTGATGATGAAACATCAATTGTATTAGATGTATAATTATAAAGTTTTTTATGAAGGGATAGTACACCCAAAGATTTATTCATCCTCAGGCCATCTAAGGTAGAACACGAGAGAAGATTTTTAGCTGTAGCTACAGTTCTTGATAATTCATAAAATGCAAGTCAACTGTTACTGACAATCTAAGAGTATGAAAACATATACAGGTAAAACAAAACTCATACACGTGGCTCCTGGTGATACATTGAGCTCTTATTAAGCAAAACTGAGCATTATTTGTAGCTTTATTATCTTTAACCCGCATCGTCTGCAAACAAAATGCATGAGGCTGAAAAGATAAAAGATAATACTGTCAATAATGTTTAGTTTCAGTTCAGACTGCATGATTTTAGCCCTGACTTTGACTCGCTGACAGATTTTGAGAAATCGCAGACAAATGCCTGAAATCACAGCCAAATTGGTGTTGTTCAGGTGAGTAACAACTATCAAAGACACGATCTGAGAATCGCTGATGAGTCGCTGACACCCGTCAGATATTTGTCATGCTAAATATCTGAAGCTGTCTGCGATTTAAATTATGTTGTGTGAATGTGTTCAGATTTTTAAAAAAAACAACTTGATTACCTACAGCCAATCAGAGAGCAGCATCTATTAGTGTGGGTATCTGCAGGCCAGTGGGAGGATAGTGGAAAAGTTAAAAGTGCTTCTTTTTAGTCTATTGGACCCAAAAAAGGGTCATGTAAATGTCATGTAAGCAATACCACAACTTCAACCGGGTCAAAAAAGAAAATAGTTGAAGAGAAATTCAATTCCCTTCAAAACCCAGATGAGCAAAATGAGTACATTTTCTATCCCTCTAAAGGCTTCTTTCTCATTATTTAGTTAATAACAAAAGATTTACGACCTGAGCTCGCATTGTTTCCTTGTCACTTCTCGTGTGTGTTTGGTTGTGAGATGTAGTTTGCAGACCGGACAAAGTTGTTGGCGATACTCCTGTTGTAAAGTCATACAGCGTGAAACCCTCTGCCAATTCATCTTGCAGTGTCAACACAGCAATGACGGAACAATACCCCAGATAGTCATACAGTGTGAAAACATCTTTGACACGATTACATTGAAAATCATGCCGTCTGAACTCAGCATTGCACAGACTGATAAAAAGACCTTCATTAGCCATTGGTGTTAATTTTGTTTTGCCTACATTTTTTTCTCTCTTATGTTCAACTAAAAAAAATAAGATCTTGGTTGGCCTGAGGTAAGTAAATTAACAGCATTTTTTTCATTTTGGAGTGAACTATCCCTTTAGATATTTCTGTAATGTGGTACTTATGCCTTTATATTATTGTGGTGTTTTACATTTGCGCTCTTTAAATGAACAATTCCTTAAGTGTTAATGAAGGTATTATTGATTACGGGTGTAAATTAATTTCTATCAGAAACTGTAAGATTATATCATATTAGCACTTAAGGAGTATTTATTTTTCACCTGTAATCTTTCCTAAAGGAATAGTCCAAAATGTAAAAATTTGCTCAAATATTTTGCTATCTTGTGTATAGATTCACTAAAACACTGTGTGTGAGGGAAACAAATTAAACACAGCGGGTTTAAAAAAAAATAAACACAGGCCCATTCTGAAAACGTAGCCCTATATACATTTCTGGGGATCGCAAATTATGTCGCCAGAAGTACATATGTATGCATTTTGTCTTTAATACGAATGGTACAGGGCGGTATAATGCCACTCCTTTTCATGCTATCACTGGTTTTCTTGCTGCTACCTGTTTGTCCAGTTAGCTCGCCATATACATCGGTGGACTTGAGACTCAGAGAAGTTGACCACCACAATGGGGTTCGAGTCCGGCAAAGAACGGTTCCAGCAAGCAGTTAAGACAAAAATTAGAATTCAAAAAATAAAGTAAACAAGTAAGTAACAGGGTGACAATTTGGTAAAATCTGTAAACAGGGTAAAAATCAGGTGAGGCCTTTTCTTTTTCTGGATTGCTTTTTAAACTGTGGGTTGGGTTTAGGGAAGTTGTGGGCGATGGTCAATCAGTGCTTTTGAAAACACTATTGGTTCGGTTTATTAAAGAAGGAAGGTTGATCAGTCATTCAGTCAGTCAGCCGACAGCAGCCTCTCGTGGATTTACGTGAAAACAGCAAGCACGAATGGCACTCATGGGAGTAATTTGAGAAGTGTACACAGCGGCCTTTGGTGGATTCGCAAAAACAAAAACTGCAAAAAAAACTACCGGCTGGGACATATTTGGCGCTCTCTAGAAATGTGTATATCCATCATTTTCAGAATGAGCCTGGGTTGAAAAAAAATTAACCCATTGGTGACCACTTTGACATCTGTGTCAAATACACAAAACCTTGACATCAATTTGACATCCACACTAGGGCTGAACAATATATCATTTGAGCATCGATATTGCAATGTGGGCATTTGCAATAGTCATATCGCCGGATTAGATTATTTATTAAAGATTAAATGATAAAGATATTATTAATTTTTTGTATTTTTTTATTATTTACACAACAATAACCATGTTATTTTACATTTGATTGTTCAATTTCTGTGCATAACTACAGAAAGCCATAAAACACTGTTTGTATGTTTATTTATTATTGCTAGTAATTTATTATATTTTTTGCAGATGCACTGCAATAGAAAAAAGACTTGTTCATCCCAGTCGATATAAATTAATGAAATATTTCCAAATAGAGTTGTTCAAATTATCTGGTCAAATTTTATTCATAATAAATCGCATATATTGCAATATATTTCAGATTATTAAAATATCGTGCAACCCTAATGACCATCAAAATCGCAACACAAAAAGTATCAAGATATAACAAATTGAATTAATCTAAAACATTGGCTCCCGAAGTGGGGGAATGTAGAATGACCATATTTTATCCATAACCTACTGAAGATAAAAATATTAGTTTTTTGTTACAACTTTTTTTTCAAAGGATTGCGTCCCTTAAGGTAGTTACATTATATTATAGACACAGCAATAGCATCAGATGCAGCAGATTGATTTTGTGGCACAAGGTTAACCATTCTGGCACATTAACAGTACTCACATACATAAAAAAACTAACAAAGAATAGACATTGGCCTATTGGTGTGTGTGTGCCATTGCATGCAAGGTTTCTATATTTATAACCACCTCAGATGATATTGCGGTCACGAGTCACTGGTATTAGGGCTGAGCGATTAATCGGAAAGTAATCAAAATCGACATTCAAAAACTATAATTAATCTAATTTTTCCAGGTACATTTTTCAAAAACTTTACCTACCGTGTGTGTAGTCACGTGACTCCGCTTTGTTAAGGCTAATTTATACTTATTATATTTTTCTGATATTATACTTCACATACCAGCACACCTCTCAAAAAAATGAAACTACACATCACAATGACACGTAGCACAAGCGTTGTGATTGGTCTGTTTTAGGCAATGATTGTTTTAATTTCACACTACATTAAAAAATCTCTCACTTATAATATGTGAGCATATTTACTGTACAAAACTTGTCATTGAACTATGAAGGCAAAAACATAAAATAAATAAACAAAATAATCATTTATTCATCGAAATCGAAATAAAATGTTCAATAATCGCCCAACCCTGGTACTGTTATTGTGGGGTCACGGGCTGAAAAGTTTGGGAACCCCTGATCTAAAAGTTTAAAATCCAAATTAACCCTGGATTTTGTATCCCTACAATGCATGAAAACTACCTTGATGTCAAAATGACATTTAATTTCTGCGTCAAAAATGAATTATAGAACAGAAACTTCAGAATCTGCTCTGATCAGAATCTGCTCTGATAAAGGAAGGTATGAAAATTTTGAGCAAATTTAAACTTTTGGGTGAACTATTCCTTTAAAGTGATCAGCCAAACTGACTTATACTTTCTTAGCAAGGCACCAAATTCTTTTTGTAAAAGTACGAGATCATTCTCTGCATGCTAACTTGTAGATATTTCAAGGTTAATTGCCTCACATTTGTATAAAAGCTCACTTTTAGAGATCAACAAACATGTTACGCTCTCATACGCAATCGATATTTAATCTTTTGAAATCTGCTTATAGCTTTATGTATGTTTATATTGATGCTTACCTCATCTTAATTAACGTCAAGAGGTCGTAAGGAGCATGATTTTAGGATCGAGTAGACGTACATGGCACAAATAGAGGTTGGTAACTTCATCTGTGTAGAAGCCTCATCTGCTGAACGTGTCCATTTGTGCCTTGGCAATGTGTGTTTCTATAGTAAGACGGCAAACATATGACATTTAATTTGGTTAGTATTCACAATACTGTACTCCTGGAAGTATACTCATTTAGAGCGCATGTTTCATCACTGCTAATAGCTGACAGCCAGTTTTATATTTGACTGTGAACTGAAAGTCACTTTAATCTGAATAAATGTATTTTTACATTAGTGACTGCCCACTGATTCTTTACAATGGCATTTCTGCAACAGCCGAATGGCCTGTGTGTCCCAATTTCTCAAAGCAATTTCCAAACACCCATCATCTTTTCATTTCTCCAGTAAATAGCGTACAGCAGATGACCTGTGACACTGAGAAATCTTTAATAGGATCACATTAAATGAAAGGATACAAAAGAGCTGCTCTGCTCAAATGAAAGTAAACACTGGGACCAGACATAATCTGCATTTTTCACCATTCCAGCTATATTTTATATTCACTTTTATTTTTACTTTACTCTGTTTTTTCAAGTAATGAAACATGGTTTGCTTCTTGCAGGGTATATGTACAAGAATCAGAATAAAATTCAATTAAATTTTTTAAGACTCTTTCCATACATTTTAAGACCTCCTTGCTGATATTTTAACTTACATATTCACTAAATACTGATAGTAAGAAACTAATCCTAAACTAAAACATTTATTCATATACTGAATAAAAATGCTAATCCAGCAGGTAGCACCTATAGTACAGCAGGAATAACAGTGAGTACATTTACATCGGCACCAAAAATCTGATTTTAACACGATTAAGATTGAGGGCTCTATTTTGACAGTCCATGCGCAAAACGGAAAGCGCAGGACGCCAAAGCTTTCAGGGCATGTCAGAATCCATATTTGGTAATTTAAGGACGGGAAAATCAGCTTTGCGTTGTGGCGCATGGTCTAAAAGGGTTGAGTTTATTTTCATAATGAGTTATAGGTGTGTTTTGAGAATAAACCAATCAGAGTCTCATCTCCCTTTCCCTTTAAGAGCCAGCTGCGTCGCGCCATAAGTGCATTTGCTATTTACAGGACGTAAAGTAAGTGAAAGTGTAAAAACTGAGCATTTCACAAGCAAACAGTTAACAGTTTTTTTTTTTTTTTAACAGAAAACAGTTAAACAGAGCATCTACCGCGCAAGAAAGAGATAATCGCTCTACTTTCACTTTCGGTCTAGGATAGGGAAACCTTTACACACAGACATCAATTAGCCTATAAATAATTAATTTTTGTTTGTTAAGCGCAAATATTTGCTTCAAAACTATTTCTAAATTCAGTTCTAATTTCCAGCAAACGAATAAA